AAAGAGTAATGCACACACTACCAAAGAAAATGGAGGTAACAACTAAAGCATAATGCTAACACTACCAAAGCATAATGCAAACAGTACCAAAATAAAATGCAAGGTAACGATTTATAACAAGAAGTCATGAACGGTGGTTGAATTGATAGAGAGATCAAACGGTGGTTGTGCGGAGATTTGGAATAGGAGAAAGAGGAACACACGACCAATGACAAAACTTCTCAGAATCATTACACTCATCAAGTGAAGCTATATACCCAAGTCACAAGCTAGAGCAAACCACAAGCGGCAACTGCCTTCTTTTCTTTTTTACTCATTCTGCCAACAATCAACCTAGCAACAATCAACGCAAGAATGTCCAGGCCTTCCTGGTTTGTTCCAGTCTCGCCACCAAGGACCGGATCCAGATCCATTATGCCACACTGTTGATTACGGCTTACACTGGGTGAGATAGGTCGTGCGAGGCCATGAGAGAGAGAGAGAGAGAGAGAGAGAGAGAGAGAGTGGAGGCGTCCGAGGGATGGAGGATGGCACCGGTGGCGAGGGTGGACGGAGGAGAAGGGTTCCCGGTAGCGGCGGTGTCGGGGGAGAGAGGCAGAGGAAAAGAGGATCCAGCTTGTGGGTGAGATAGGTTGTATTAGGGTTTGCGTATAATATATACAGTAATCAGGTGTGGTATGTTTTTCATTTCCTAAATTAGCCTTATGTAATCTTAATCGTTAATTTAAAAATATAATAAAATAAAGATAATGAATGGTATAGATGTTGGTAGCCACCGTGATTACTCAAAATTGAGTAACCACCCTGACCAATTCCATCATCCAATGAGGGTTGGTGCCAGCATGCTTTGCCGCCTACCTCTCAAGTACCCAAGTACGGCAGAGTACAAGGGGGGTCGACACTCACGTGTCAAGCATGGTGACAATCATGCAGGATGATAAATGGTTAAGTATGGAACCTCCTCCTCGCTTGCCTACCAAGCACCAGGGTGCCAAGCATAACGTCATGCCAAGGGGGTAGGGACAAAGCACCCTCATCCCAAATAGTCAGGCATGCTAGAACTTGTAGTCATGCAGGGTACCTGGTAGACAAGGTCATTAAGTTTCTAAATGTCACTCATGTATATCATCACATGGTAGACCACCTTGTCAAGACCCTGCAAGCATGATGCCACCCAAAGGGGGTCTGTGTGCCTCCATCAACTCCCCAAGCACCCTAGTGTCGAGCATGACGTCATTCAAGGATGGTTAGCACGAGTACCACTAAGCATGAAGCCCTCACCCCCACTAGGCAAGACACCTCCATGGCACAAGGGGCTAGCTATCAAGTGAAGTCATCAAATTGTCAAGGTATCAAGTGGCGTACGAGCAAGGCGGTTAAGGCGTCAAGCAAGCTACATCAAGCACCAAGCAGTGGAGCAGCGGTTACAAGGAGGCGGTTTCACGGCGGTTACAAGTGATGGCTATAAATAGGAGAAACAAAAACGGGAGAAGGGTTCCACAACCAAACATTTGACACACAATGTCATTTTTTTTTATCTTTTCTCTGGAAATTAGCCGTAGCCTTTAGTTTTTGGAGCTCTCATTGTACCTCCATAGGAGTAGGGGTAATTTAACGTAACTTGTTCCCAAAAACCATCAAAAATATCAAACACCCTCGTTCAAATATTTTTCTGAGAGCAATGAACCGTGTATTTGTCGTCGTTCAAGAAGTCAAATGTGCATCAATCGAAATCAAACACCAAGATTTTCCTCATCGGAAAACAGGCACTATAGGTAGTTCTCTACAGAAAACTCAAAATAGTAGGCAAAGTCTACGTGGTCGTTTGGATGTGGAAATTGATGTGGGAATTAGCTCCAATTTCACAAAATGCGGTATTTGGATCAAATTTCCGTGTTTGGCTGGGTAAAATGAGTTTGGAATTGGACTGTTGTATATGGTAAAAAAAATCCACAAACCCAGATTTTGAAAATTTGGCACCCATTCTCTCGTAATCTAAAGTTTTGTACTCCCGTATATTGACCTTTTTCTCCCGACCATGTCCCCGTACTACCCCACAAGTTTCCAAACCCGCATTGTCTTCACATATCCCCTCTCTCTTGTCTTCTCCACCACCGCACCTATTAATCGATATCTCCTGACGCCAACAATTCATATTCTTTATTGTGTCCTTAAACGCGATGTTGACAAAAGCACCTCCTTTTGATTTGCTTTTGATTCTTCATCTCTGGAGCAGATCCGTTAAGTAACCTTGTGGTGTTATAACCTCATGCATAACCCAATAAGAATCCGCCACATCAGCGCCTCCTTCTCTCTCCTCGAAAAACCTTTAATTTTCCTTCGCTTAATCTTTAACGAACGATTTCTCACTCGTTTTAACTCGGATTTTTTTTTTGCACAGTTAGATCAAATTAATTGTGCTCTTCAAAATGATATTCACTTTGATATTTTTTGGAACAAAAAAATTTGTCAGTTATTATCAGTCTATACCATATGGTATTGATTGTACCATATGGTATTAACTGGTATTAAATAACAGCATACCATATTGTATGAAAAATACCACCCCATACCAGGGTGGTATAGTATGGTATGGAGTTGGTAACGAGAGGTATGAAATTTTTGAACCCAGAAAAATTTTAAATCCAATAGATCATGATTAAATCGTTCCTTCTGTGCAAAAAATTTCGAAAACGAATAAAAACTGAAAGAGATACCATATGGTATGGAGTTAGTAACGAGAGTATGAAAAAAAAATTTCTAAAAAAATATTGAAAATGGATATCATTTTGTAGAGCACAACAAACTTGTTCCATTTGTGCAAAAACAAATTGAAGAGTTAGATCTGCTACCACTTAAAAGAAGGGTCCAGATTTGGTTACTCATACTCAGTGGCGGACCCAGAAATTTCAACCAGGGTATTCAACAAAAATAATTAATTAAATTTAATTCAAAACTTTCAATTCATAAAATACATAGATTCTTCATTTTTTCGCAACCAACCACGATGTGTTTGAATATTTTGAAAGTTTTCTAGTATACATTCATCACATATATTGCTACTCGCACCTTTTTAATGAATTAACTAGAGAAAACTGATCCCCATCCGATTTCGAATATCATTCTTGATAAATTTCATTGCCGAAAAGGCCCTCTCAATACTTGCAGGTTCAATAAAAAAAAGTTAACATTAGAATTGAGATGTTTGTTCTCACAGTAAAATAAATCGTAATTGGATACTTTATGAGTAAGGCGATGAGGCTGAGGAGAAGAATTAATTAAAGAGACTTGGATTTGGAAAGATTGATAGGTCTAGGAATATGCTTGTTTGTATTCTTACAACAACAATCAAATTGACGCTTTAACGAAAATCTAATTTGAAACGGCAAGGCCTGTCAAATTAGATAGGGTTCAATTACTACCAACAACAATATAAATATTTACATACAAATTTGGCCTAACTTTCTAAGTAAGGTTTGTCAACTGACAAGGCTTAAGAAGAAATGGGTCCGCCCCTGCTCATAATTATGCACTCTAAGATTATGCACCCCTGCCTTGCTATTTTAGCTCAACAAGCCACCGAGTCAAGTTAGCTCACGAGCTTATCAAGTTGAGCATGGTCTAGCTCAAACTTGGCTCGTTTACTAACAAATCGAGTATCGAACGAGCTTTTTTCGATTCGAACATCGAGTTGCTCACGAGTGACTTGACACATTTGCAAGCCTTCCTTTATGGCCTTATCTAAACTAGGTGTACGAGGAGATAACATGGCTTCTTGTTGACCTCCACTCAGAAGAGCAAGAGGGCTTTGTGGTAATAGGAAACGACATGGTACAGAGTAGAGCATTTTTTGTATTTCCCCACAATTCTACACCGTCAATTTCCACTTGACACATTTTATAATTCCATCCAAACATGAAATTTTGCCCAAATCCTACATTTTATAGTTCCACGACAACTGATTAATTTACAGCAGCAAATGTACATATTTAAATGGCCACATTCATTTTGCTAACTCCCAACTTGTTCTTCGGTTAAATCGAAGTTTTTACTAGTTTCCTTAGTAAAACTGGCAATCCCACATGCCGTATGCTCACCATTACATATGACTGGCCATCAAGCAAGAAAACCAATCTAATTAAGTGTGCGGGAGTTAATTAGCAGCCGCTCCAGAGTCGGTTCAAGTAGGGATGGCAATGGGTCGGGTCGGGGGCGGATAGTGCATATCCGTTACCCTACTCAAAGTAGTTCGGGTTTTACCCGTACCCATACCCACATGTGAAACGGGTAGAAAATCAAAACCATGCCCATATCCGTTCGGGTTTCGGGTATCCACGGTTATCCATGGGTAATCATTTCTCTTCATAACTTCAACCAATATGTTAACATTCACACGAATTCTCACATTACGTAAGAGGAAAAGTACGACAATAATTCATTAGAATGAAGAAAATTAATTAAAACAACACAATTTCATGAAAATAATATACTTATATGCTAAATATAAAATATGTTAGAGAAAAATAATGATTATATCTAGAGAAAATACATATGCATTTGTATAATCGGGCGGGTTCGGGTTGGATAGTGAGAAATCCATGCCCACCCATTACCCACAATATTCGGGTTCGGGTTTTACCCGTATCCACTAAATGTCTTTCGGGTTCGGGTTTTACCCTACCCGATTAGGTCGAATTCGGGTGGATATCCACGGTTACGGATATTTTTGCCATCCCTAGGTTCAGGTTCAATTGGGAACTCGGTTTCCTTACCACTGGTAAAAATACAACAAAAAAATTGTCAGCTTTAGTACAGTCCTAATTTAGCGACTTTAAGAACTTCACATTACGTACGCAGCATCATCAACTCATGTCATGACCACAACATGTCCAATTCAAATAATAACAGTATAAACACAATCAGCTCGTGCAAATGATGAGCAAATCAAACAGAGTACTTTGCTGGAAAAGTTTCAGTCAGAAGGATGTCAAAACAGGAAGCAAAATCTACAATCTATATTGGTGTCATCTTTAAACATAGGGAAAGCAGAGGAACATGCATAATCAACAACTCAGTTAACAAATATTATACATCCCTGAAATTACATGCACGCAATTATCATAAAACTGACTGAAAGCTCATGAATGAAGAAATGGGCTTAATGTCCAAACAAGCACCACTCTATTCAGAGTAACGTTCCTCGGCATAGGGAGTACAGGCCTTCATCTCCAGGAGAAAAGCATCAAATGTGCGGGCTATGAGCCAAGCCACTCAACAAACAGAGCTGACGGATGGAAATAATGATCCATAGAACTCCAGAACCCTGCTGTTCTTAGTTGGAAAAAAAGACCCAGAAGATGAAACCAATGCTAACTGTATAAGAGAACGATTATCCAGTACACCGTCAACGAAGCATAAGGAAATGCCACTTCTGAGTGCGCCTTTGCTCCAGAAGCACAAGAACATGCTTAGTCAGCCAGATGGTTTGATGAATGATGGTAAACTAGAATATTGACGATTTCAACGCAAGCAAACTAAACCAAACTAAAATGTTCATGTACAAATGACCTTCAGCGAAGAAAGGGACGACCTTGAAAGAAACAACACAATACAAAAGGAGTAAATAAGAGAAGGGGAGAAAAGAAACCGAACCTAGCATACTGAAGAGAACAGTGGAAATACTGGCAGATTTTCTACAGAATCGTGGTGCTTCTCACAGGGAAAGTCATATCACATGTTGCACCTCAGCGAAAATCCCTGCCATTTGAAATGATAGGAGATCAACTTTACGACAGAACAGAAGCAGGCTTACAATGAATTTCGCCAACCCGCCATCCCCCAACAACTTTTCAAAAAATAAAACAGACACCACTAGTAAATTCAATTAGCACCGCCAATCAACTCAATTGAACAGAAGGCGTCACCTTTTGTGTCAAAATCGACGAACCCAGATTAACAAATCCCAGATAGGAACTCTCTCCAACCCATTTGACTTGGGAACTATCAAACTAAGAGAAGGGGCCGAGAGAAACAAACCAGGAGGAGCATGTCACGAATTGCCTGGAAACCATGGAGGTTTCTTTGTTGATCACGAACTCGAACCGCTCGCTGCTGATAAGCTTGACCTTGTCTCCTGTCCTCCTCTCTCTTCCGTTTCTCTTTTCCTCTTTTTTATGGTGACTTTCCTTTTCCTTGTTACGGGAACAGTAAGGAAAACTGATTTCTCTTCTGGCAAATGTGATCAGACAACTAACCGCCGAGAGAAGAGCTTGTCGTTCACAATACAAAAGCCACTTCCAAATTTATTGCCAAGTAATAAGTAGACTCCAGTAGGAGCTCTAATAATTGATGCATTGCCTCCTCTCCAACTAAATAAAGTCCTTGTTTTTTCCCAATGAAATGAAAAGAAAATGAAACAACAAAAAAATGAACTGATGCACTGTTCTTCACAGATGAGGAGACACCACAGGTTACTCAACAAATGAAATATCCAATCAACTTCATAACATCACCGAATCAATAAGCTGAAAAGTTGGAGCTTATTCATGACAAATAAGCACATCAAACTAAATCAATGTTTCAAAATACGAGATAACATCCAAGAAAAAAGATAAATCTTTCAACTCCATAAACGGCTGAGGTTGAGCTTTCAAAATGCTAAGCTATCATACCTTTCTAGTATTACTCCATGGCCATAATTGTTAACATGAACAGCAACATCACAACTACAAGCATTAAATCTGTCAAGTATGCAGAGCCTTGAGATCAGTACATTCCGCAGAACAGCGAGCAGAGGGAGAATACAGCACAGTCAGTGAGAGTGGCAACGATCATGGGTAAGAATTCCAATTACAGCCGTGGAGAAAACTCAACTGTACATGCAAAAATCTCAATGTATGTTCACTGCATGCCTCTGCAACCATCGGTAACTTGCTCATCCTGGTTAAAATGACTTTCAATAGGTTTTTGGGTACCACATGATCCTCCTTGAGTTGTATCTGTTGATAAACCCTTTAGCCGCTTCTCCTCGTCACCCAAATCTGAGGAATCTAAAAGTTTTTCAAGATATGGATTATCCAAACCTACGATCAAGGACATCGTGGTAGCATCAGAGGAGAAACCCTTAGAAATCATTTCATGAATGAGTTCCACAGCGTCAAGTGGATCTTTGTGCTGAAGAAATCCAGCGATGATTGCATTATAAGAGCGGGAATTCGGTGCGCAACCACTCGCCACCATTGTTCTAAATAAATCATAAGCTTTATCGACCAAACCTTGTCCACAGAGCCCACCAATTACCACGTTATATGTGTACACATTAGGTTGTAAGAACTTATCTTCGCGGAGGATAGTAAACAAAGCCCATGCTTCCTCCCCACGCTTCACAGTTTTGAACAGGCTATCGATCAAGATATTATACATCCGAACATCCGGCTTTAACTTGCTATTTTTGATTGATTCGAACATAGTCAACGCCTCATCTAGCTTACCTCGTTTGCACATGTTAGACAGCAAAATGCTATATGTCACAACATCTGGCACTTGACCCTGATCAACCATTTTCGTGAGAAGTTCATGTGCTTCTTGATGCCTTTCCACAAGGCAGAATCCTTCAATAAGAGTATTAAATGTAATATTATTTGGAGTCAAACCCTTCTCAAGCATATCAGAAAATAACTGGTTGGCTTCAGAGATCCTTTTATCTTTACAATATCCATTGATCATGATGCTGTAAGTACGAACATTAGGCTTGCATCCCAGGCTGGACATCAAGTCAAATAACCTTTTAGCGTTGCCAACTTCACTTCTCAAGCAATATCCATCTAGCAATGAGTTGTACGTAGCAATGTTTGGATGTACTCCTCTCTGAATCATCATGTTGACCACAGCTTTAGCTTGCAAAATCATCCCATTTTTGCAGAAATCATCAACCAATATGCTAAAGGTGAATACATCAGGCATGATGTCACTATCTATCATTTCAATCAACATCCTCAAAGCTTCAGCCCTCTGGCTTGAGATGCATAAGCCGTGAATTAAGGAATTGTAGCTGAAAACATCTGGTGAAACTCCTTTATTCTTTAGCTCAGAAAAGACATCCAGAGCTTTTGACATCAAACCATTCTTGCATAGGGCATCCATGACAGTGTTATATGTAGCAACACTAGGGCAACAACCCAAAGCTTCCATTTGTCTGAGCAAACTAAGACCTGCATCTGTTTTTTCCATCTTGCACAGCCCATTTACAATCGCGTTATAAGTGACCACATCCCGCTTATATCCTAAAGCCACCATCTTATTAAACAACTCCACTGCCTCAGGAATTCTCCCACTTTTGGAGAGCCCATCAATCAGAGTATTGAAAGCAATCACATCTGGTTGAAGTCCGAGTTTAAAAGCTTTGCCCAAAATCGAAAACCCGAAATCCACGCGACCCAATTTGCAGTAGCAATGGATCAACATGTTAAGTATGTAATCGTTGCAGGGAATGCCAGCCAAATCCATTCGTTCGGCCACAGAAAGCGCAACCTCAGGGGCTTTCAGTTTCACAAGGGCAGTCAATAATTGACCGAATTTCACAATGGAGGGCATGGGATTCGCGTGGAGCATACTATTAAATGAATCTAGGGCATCATCGACGCTAGTGAAACGAGCAGAAGAGAATAGAGCCTTACCAGATATTTTCGACAGCTGAAATCGAAAGGCATTATGACGGAAGATGCAGTAACTGATTATGTTTGTCATTTATTGCCACAATGAAAGTGAGGAACGCTCAATTGCAAATGTGATGGCAACGAAATTAGTCGGAAACTGAAGTGAGCTCTGCTCGAAAGTTTAAGGTTCGTGTTCTGGTCGGAAAGATGTAGGAGGGAGTTGATTAATGGCACTGGACGGAAGTTTAGGGTTTGTTTACCGCGGATGGGGAAGAAAAGGGGGAAAAAATCTTGCAAAAACAAATCCTCACAGTATAGTTAGGGCTGGTATTCCGTAATTTACCAGTTTAACCGGTAACCGACTACCCGATTAACGATATACCGGTAGCGTCAAGATGGAGATTGGCAATCGAAACCGATTTCTAACCGGATAGGCGGTTACCGGTTATACCGAGAAATCGTGACAAGCATTACGGAATATACTTTTACGATGGCAGACTATCTTCTCCATTTGGTTTCCGGAACCTCCCTCCGCCTCTTCCTAGGGGTGTCAGTTCGGGTCGGGTTCGGTTACCCAAACCGAAACACAAAAAAACCCGAAAACTCGAAACCGAAAATCACTAAAACCGAACCCGAATCCGATAAGGACTTGTGGGTTCCGGTTACCCGAAACCCGAAAATTCCTTATCGGGTTCGGGTTCGGTTAAAGCAAAACCGAAATCCGAACGCCTTAAAATACGGGCTGAGTACTATTCATTGGAGGTTTTTAGCCGGAACCCGAAAAACCGATAAGCAAAACCGAACCGAAACTGAAAAACCCAAAACCCGAAACGAACCCAAACCCGAAAAACCGAAAATGTATATAATTAGGTCGGTTTCGGGTAAACCCTAAAAACCGAACCCGAATGGACACCCCTACCTCTTCCTGCCCAAGCTATCAATCATCAATTCTCCTTCTCCAGCCAAACTTCCTCTCCTAATCTACTTCCCCAGTGGTGGCTCTTTCCCCCGGTGGTTGATTTCTCCCGAATCGAGGCTATTGAATCAATCTCAGACCTTCATCGATTTGGTTTTGGGTAATTATGCAATTGATGGAAATTGGAGAGCTCAACTATATACAAGGACAGAGAAATCTATCTGATTTTTGAAATAAGCTCTTAGCGGTTGCAGGGGGCTAGGGAGAGGTTGACGGAGGAGGGAGAGCAAGCAGAGATTGACGACGATGAGAGAGCTAGGCCAACAAAGGGAGAGCGGCGAGAAGTAGAGATTGACGGCGTGAGGGAGAGAATGACCGATGAGAGGAGATTGTCTCGTCGAGCCGACAATCATTCGTCTCTCTCTTCAAATTCAAAGGTGGGGCTTCGACTAGCGGTCGACGGCGACGCCCCTGAAGCTTGGTGGACTAGTGGGGGCCGACAGCGACGCCAGCGACAATCAATAGCAAGGAAGCTTTGACAGGCACCAACGGCAACGAGTTGGACGCCTCGTGAAGCCACTGCGACGACAACATGTTAGATATGTGAGGACTGAGGAGGATGCAGTGTTGGATCGGCGATCGAGAGCGAGCAGTCTTTTTCCCTTTTCATCTTCTTTGCGGGTGAGGTGGAAACGGCGAGGAGGAGGTTGGACAGAGGAGAGAGAACGAAGATGGACCAGTCAGCAGCGTGCGTGAGGCAAGCAGAGCCGCTGGGGTGGCTAATCCGCCTTGGTTAACGGTATAACCGGTTACTGTTGGTTACCGGTTCGTTAATCTTTTATATCGTTAATCAGATTACTGAATACGAGCCTTAAGTAGAGTACTTAGCAAAGGTATTCACGACTCACGAGTCACGTCAGAGGTCACATATCCTAGAGGTGAAATCTTTAGTGGGCGCTCATTCCGGGAAGTGGTGGATCTCGTATTCGAGCCCCACCAAGGCCCGTTATGGTGTTCACAGAGGCATTTAATGGAGATCCTAGTGGAGGGACCGAAGGGCTCAAGAAGTGAATCCCCAAGTTTGGTGTCGCTTCGTCATAGCTCAAGTGGTCTGTGCTTGGGGATTTCCTGAGTTTGAAAAAAAAAGTGTTCACAAAATACAAGAGTTTGGGGTTGTTCGCTAGACAGTAAAGTGAACTACATTATGGTTCGTTGATAAGCACAATAAACTATGTGGTTCACTGATCTTAGCACTTTTTTTTTACAACCTTTGTACTAATTCGTTGCTTTAAGAAGTGAACAACAAAGGTTCGTTGTCAAGTAAAGCGAACAAGTGTGATTCGCTTGCAAGATAAGCTAACAAAAGCAATAATTTTGTGAAGTCGCTTTCCCACTACATGCTTCAGGATAGGATGCAGGGACAAAGATTTTCGGTGGAGAAAATATTTTAAGGGGGAGAAAATATAACACCCCGAGTTCTGATCCAGGTTCGACCAAGGTTCGACCGCAAAGCTGGAAAACGATTAGAAGGAATAAAGCGGTGAAGAAGTGGCAACATGCTAGAACACGGCCCGTCACACAGCCGTGTTGCTAGACCAAAGCAAAAATACCAGCCATTTTTGCAGGAAGCCGGACAGAGATTCGACAGGTTTTGAAGTGCGGACTTAGTCGCAAGCAACAGACCACTATTTTCTAGGTTTTTGGGTGGAGAGGCAGATGGATAGGGAGATAATCTGAGAGAGAGAGAAGAATGGGTTTTCGTGTGAAGAATGAATGAGAAATTGGGGTTTATATAGGATTCGAACCACCTGCTAGGGGCAGTTTGTAATTTTTCACAAACAATAACCACTCCCTCCCACCAATGTTCGCATTTTTCCAAGCTAGAAACCACCCACTCCACCTGCGATTCTTGATCTCTGACACAGATCGGTTACATGGCGCACGGTCCGCCCTTCGATCGCTCTCTAATCCAACGGTTCCGCAGACCACCTCTTCCCCATACGGTTTGTTGGTTGCCCTAGCTTTGACCGCCTCTTCCATGGGCGTTTTCTTGAACAAACCGCACGCACTTTTAGTGTGCGGTTTACAACAAATGGTGTTAGTGGAAATTTTCAGAAAATTGTGGTATTTTTGTAATTTTTTTATGATGGTAGATCTGGAAAAAAAATCATAATTATCATAAATGGTAACACACCTATTCACTTTGTACAAAACGGTCACAACCCTTTACTTTTGCACGTTTTTGTAATACAAGTATGAGTGAATAACTAAATGGTTAATCCGTCCAATTTCGTCCAAAGTCTGTTACCTACACATTCAGCATGACACATCATTAAAAATATTAATTAAAAAATTAGTCAATCACCTCACTTAACCTTCACAAGCGAACCGGTCGTAACAAGCTCTTTACCCACCCCTTCCCAAGTTGGAGAAAGCGAGCAACCCTTCTTCTTTCAAGCTTGTCGATCTTGAGAAGATGCAGCACCATGTTGTACATCTTGACTATCAAATCGTGATTGCTCTTCAACTCCATCGTGGCCAACAACCCCTGGCAAGATCTCTGCCCACTAGCATAGAACTTGAATACCTTTTGGCCTACTTTCAACAATAACGGGGAATACCCATCCCCAACACCCAATAGGCTGAAATTGTTCTCGAAAATGGAATCCTTGGTAGCGAACTGCTTTCTAGTGAAGTAGTTTATTACAAACATAATCAAGAACGAGAAACACACTATCTCCACGGTAAACGACTGCTTCTTCTTGGGCACACTTTCCCCCTGCTGCTTCGAATTTGGTACTGGGGTTTCCTTCTCGTCTCTACTAGCACCACCAGAATTTTGGGTTCATCGGAGTATACGTAGCAGTCGGAAGGCCTTCAAACTCATCTTTGTCCCATTCGGCGAAGCTGGCTGTCGTAGTAGAGGCCAGAGTCGACGAATCGGGTCTCAATTTGGAGGCATCCAAATCTGTAGTGGCAGAAGATATGAATCGGGCTGATTTAAATTGGAATATGGAGTGGAGGATGCAGGTGGGGAGTCGTCGGTCACCGTCAAGGGAAGATCGACGAGCTTGAAAGAAGAAGGGTCGAGGGAATGAGAAATTGAGGTTGGACGTCGATGGTGGCGGTAGCGGTGCGGTGGCGAAGGCGAAGTCGCTTCTCCTTCATCTGTCGCTGTACTTTTTCCAGGATTGATGAATAAAGAAGATTTAAATAATAAAAAACCACGAGGCAGTATTTGATTGGGAAGGTGTACGTGTGACGTGGTGCACCCGGTGCACCTAAGAATTTCTCTAGTAATGGCATTTCAGACCGCGCGGGCAGGCACCCGCCCGAAATCCGGCTGGGCGGAGCAGTTCCTACCCGGCTTGACAGGGAATTAACGGATTCGGGGAAACCCGTTATCCGTGGGTAACGGATGTCGGGCGGTGACGGAGTCCATGCTATCTGCCCCGAGCCTGCCCCGATCCATAAAACGACGTTGTATTATTCCCATATATATATATATATATATATCAGTCGAGCTGGAGGTAAACCCTAATCCCTAATTGTAAAATCGTCGCTCTCTCAGTCTCTCAGTCTCTCTTCTCTGCTCTCAATCGCCGCTCAATCCATCAATTCGATTCCCCCGCGAAATTCTCTCCATCCAGGCTGTCAATCATTCATTATCCTCTTCATTCAGCAATCAAAGCCTAATATCCTCATCGATTTAGGCAAAGAACAACATGCAAAAGGAGAAGATGACTGTTCCAATCTCCAATTCGAGGTTATTGGGAGGATTTGTCGTCGATTATTGTTCTGATAATCCAGAACTCGAGATAAGTACCTTCCAATTCAATTCTTCTTTCTTGTTTCAGTTTCTTGCTTTAGTTTTAGGTTCTTATAAATTAACTCGATTGGTTCTTTCTAGGGCCCTTCAGTTTCATCTTCATCTGCACCTGCGACTGCATGCTCTGATACTTGAGGTAATCACTAATCAGATTTCCTTAGTCAGTAAGTCTTTAGTAATTAGTAGTTTGTTGTATTGATTTTGACTCATTGGATTGTAATGTTCGTACTTTTGTTTGAGTTTTTGCAGTTTCGTATCAGGCATCAGTTCACCATCTACAACTCTGGACAATAGACCCCCTCTCTCCAGATTCGAGGTTAGTTAAGGAATTAAGGACAGTTTACTTAATTTGGTTTGCATGTATTAGACATTAGGGACTCGAGTTTCTGTTGATTGCTTGGGTCTGCTCATGAATCATGTCTTGTTTAGTATAAGTGTCTCATCTGCATTTTGAAATTGAATCTAAAAGACTATAAATTTGAACCTAGAAATCTTATAGCTAAAGCCTAAAAAGTAACCAAGCAATCCTCTGATGTTTCTATACTCGTTTATCTCAATGTTAGATGGACGGTGCACCTGAAAATGTTGTCAATGCTCCTGTTCCTCCACAACCTGCACCTGTTGATCAAAACAACCAATCTGAACAAGTTGGTAATGGTAACGGTAACTTGACTAATGAAAATGCTGAAGTGCTTAATGAAGAATGCAAATTGACTTCTGATGTATGGCATCATTACACTAGGGTTAAGCTTAATGGGGTTATTAAAGCTAAGTGCAAGTACTGTCGAAAAAATCTTGGTGGTGATACTCGTAATGGAACCTCGCACCTTAGGAATCATGTGAAAACCTATCCAAAAAAAGATACATGATGGTGCTCAAAAAATTCTTTGCCCTAATTACAAAGCAACTGGAAAACCCCAATTATCTGCTACACAGTTCAACTCTGATGTGTCTAGGAAGGAGCTGAGCTCAATGATTTTGGTCCATGAGTACCCTCTTAGCATTGTTGAACACTTGGGTTTCAAGCGTTTCTGTTGTTCTTTGCAACCACAGTTTACTGTGCCTTGTAGAAATACTGTGAAGAAGGATATCTTGTCTTTGTATGGGGTTGAAAGGAGTAACTACCAAAAGGTTATTGATAGTAATTTGGGTAGAATTGTTGTGACCACTGATTTGTGGACTGCCCTAAACCAGAAGAGGGGTTATATGGCAGTCATAGCTCACTTTATTGATAATACTTGGAAGCTTAGAAACTCAATGCTAAAGTTTTTGTATGTCCCTGCCCCTCACACGAGTGAGAGGCTTGCAAGAAAACTGTTTCAATGTCTTCTGAATTGGAACATTGATGGAAAGTTGTCTGCAATCACCTTGAACAATTGCTCCACTAATGATTCCATGATTGCTCACCTTAAGAATAAACTTGTTTTGAATGACTTGTTGATGGATGGTAAACTAATTCATATGAGGTGTTCTGCTCATTCACTGAACCTTATTGTGAAAGATGGTTTGGATGTGATAAAGGATGGAATCCATTTGATTAGGGAGAGTGTGGTGTATTGGACTTCCACACCTAAGAGGGTCCAGACTTTCAATGAAGCTGTTAAACAGGTTAAGTTGGCTGTTGGGAAAAAATTTGTGCTTGATTGTCCAACAAGGTGGAATTCTACCTATGATATGCTCTCTATTGTTCTTCTGTACAGAGATGTCTTTTTTCGTTTGAGACAGATGGATAGTCAATACACATCAGTTCCTACTAATGATCACTGGGATTTTGCTGCTATTGTGATTGATAAACTGCTCATTTTCAGTGAGATGACTGCATTATTTTCTGGTACCAAGTACCCCACTGGCAATCTGTTTTTCTCTAAGGTCTGTGATCTGCGATTGAAATTGAGTGAGTGGTGTGCTGATCTTGATCCTGTTATATCTGCCATGGCTGGAAATATGTGGTTGAAATTCACAAAGTATTGGGATGATATACATCTTGTTCTGGCAGTTTCAGTGGTTCTGGATCCTAGGTACAAAATGCATGTCATTGAGTATTATGCTGCTAAGTTTGGCAGCTCTGATACTTACTTGGTGGCTAAGGATCTAAAACAACTGATTTGTGGTTTGATTAATGATTATCAAACCAAGGCTGAAAAGAAATCTGGTTCTTCTGCCAATGATCCGATTGGAAATTTCTTTGTTTTAGCCACTGATCTTGATTTCGAGTTGTTTGTAAGTCAGAGGAAAAAGAGCAAAACAACTCTGATTACTACTGAGTTGGACCATTATCTTGTTGAGGAACTTATTCCTCGTGATCCATCTGCTGAATTTGATCTCTTGATGTGGTGGAAGTTGAATGGCCTTAAGTATCTTACTTTGCAAGCAATCGCAAGGGACTTTTTGGCTATACCAATAACATCAGTTGCTTCCGAGAGTGCTTTCAACTCTGGTGGGAGGTTGTTAGACCCCCACAGGAGCAGACTCGACTATTCTACTGTGGAGGCTATGTTGTGCAGTCGTAGCTGGGTTAGGGAAGCCTAGCTAAGAGGTAACCTGCAATATACTTCAAGTTTAGTATTCATAGTAGCTTTTGGTTCATTTAAACAAGTGAGTTTGATTTATTTCTGCAGAATCAGAGGCTGCTGCTGTGGAGACAATGGATGGACTGTTTACTGGGCTGTCAATTCACGATTCAAGTGTAGAAGATCAGGAAAATGGGGGTAAGTTAGTTGGTTTTTAGTTTCTAGTTGGTAAGTTATGATTTATGAACTGCATAAGTAAACAAAGTTTTTTTTTTTTATTGATTGCAGTCCAGGAACTTCTGAATCTGGATTCACCATTCTCCTTTGATGACTGATTATTGGAACCTCAGAAGAGAAGGCATATAATACATTCAAACTGACTTGTCTCCTTTATTGTAAGCTTGTATCTGTTCCTTCATATTTTTGTTTTCTTGCAGGGAATGAATGTCAATTGTCATGTGCTGCTTGACTGCTTCTGTTCTTCAAATCTGGTTGATGCCTTGCTGGTGCCTTTGAGAGTTTGGCTTACTGCCTTTGAGAGTTTGAGTTTGAGTTTGGCTTATCTGTTCCAAATTTGAACAATGGATTGGTGTGTGGCTTACTGCCTTTGAGAGTTTGAGTTGTTTACTTGTTTTTTCTTTACTACTTATGACTATGAGACAGTTGATGAACAATTGAGGAACTCTTGAAAATTCAAAGTTTTAGGTGGTGGGAGGGTTGCAGCCTAATAGGCTTTATGTTAAGCTGCTTTTGATGGTGCTCAACTTTGAATTTGAACTGAATTATATGTTTTTCCACTTGTTTGAATATGTTAATTATTTTGTGTTTCTACCGGGTAATGGGGACCCGTGGTTTCTCCGAATCCGTTGCTTCACAGTGACGGTAACAGTTTTGGCCGCGTTGAGTGGCCGAGGACGGGGACGGGGAAACCCGACACTGCTCACGGATGGTATGAATCCGTCCCCGATCCGCCCGTTGCCAACCCTAAATTTCTCCAAAATATAATAGGCAAAGTTTACATCAACAATACCAACAAAAAAAAACGCACAGAAGAAAGCAATGCTTGGAAGTTGGAGGAGATCATTCCACGGCAGCTGATTAGTTTACAACAGCAAATGTACATATTTTAATGGCCACATTCATTTTGCTAGCTTCTGTCCCGACTTCTTCTTTGGTTAAATCGAGGTTTTTACAAGTTTGCTTAGTAAACCACAGCACACCTAACTGGCAATTCCACACACCAAGCGCAGTCCTAAATCATCCTGGCAAGCATCGCCTATCGATGATCCTGCGAAGTGTTGCCAGCATCACAAGATCAGTTTGTAATACTAAAGCAGCAGCAAAGCAAGAATAGATACTGTGTGCTTACCATTATAGAAGACTGGCCACCAAGAAGTAAAATAACCAATCTAGTTTAAGTGTGCAGGTAATTAGCAGCCATCATAAGCTCCAGAGTCAGTTCAGGTTCAATTGGGAACTCGGTTTCCTTACCACTGGTAAAAATACAACAATAAATTGTCAGCTGATTATACAACAGGTAAAACTCAATGAAGAGACTTGAATACACGATGAAATCTGTAGGTCTTTGTTGATGACAGTTTCAGTACCGTTCTCAATTAGTGACTTTAAGAACTTCAGATTGCGTACAGAGCATCAACTAATGACCACATCATGTCCAATTCAAGTAATAACAGTATAATCACAAACAGCTTGTGCAAGTGATCAGCAAATGAAAAAGAGAACTACTGGAAAAGTTTCAGTCAAAGATGTCAAAATAGGAAGCAGAACTACAATCTATATTTGTGTCATCTCAAAACTTCGCATAGCCGTCATATGACAACTGCAGTAGGGGAAAAGCATAGGCAAAACAAGAGAAACATGCATAATCAGCAACTCAGTCAACAACTTATTTTTCATCCGTGAATTTACATCAAGACAATTAACATAAACTGATTGAAAACTCATGAAATGAAGAGAATGGGCTTATTATTGTCTGAACAAAGTAAAGCAGCACTAGTTACTAGTAAACGTTCTATGAACCAACACATTCTAAACACAAATCGAACCGATGGAAAATGACCGAGAACTCTAGAACCATGCTGTTCTTACTCGAAGAAAAAGACACCCAGAAGATGAAACCACTGCTGACTGTATTTTATAACGAGTATGCCTTACACCATCAACTAAGCAGAAGTAAGGAAATGCCAGCGCTGAAGTGCGCCATTGGCTTCAAAAACACAAGCATGCTTAGTCAGCGAAATGGATTGCTGAATGCTTGTTAATTCAACGAGAGCAAACCAAACTAAGACGTTCATGTAAGAACGAACTTCAGAGAAGCAAGGGACAATATTGAAAGAAACAACACAATGCAAAATGGAGTCGACAACCGAACCTAGCATACTGAAGAGACCAGTGGAAATACTGGCAGATTTTCTCCAGAATAGTGGTGCTTATCTCAGGGAAAGTCACCTCCCCATGTTGAGCCTCCGCAAAACTCCCTGCCAATTGAAAATGAAAGGCGATCAACTTTGCCACAAAGAATTTAGCCAGCCCACCATCCCCCAATGAGTGACGAATTAAATCGCTACCACCAATCAACTCAATTGAACAAAAGGCGCCAGATTTTGTATCGAAATCGACGAACCCAGATCAACAAACAGAGAAATTCCCACATTGGAATTCTCACGAATCCATTCGAGTTTGGAAACGCCAAGAGAGAAGAGGGGCAGAGTGAGACGGACCTGGAGAGGTGAGCATGTTGCGAATTGTCTGCGAAACCATGGCGGTTCCTTACTGATCACGAACTCGAACCCCTCGGCGCTGATAAGCTTGACCGTGTCTTCTTTCCTCATCTCTGTCTTCCGTTTTTCTTTTCCTCTTCTCTTCTCTTATTTTTCTGGTGCTCCTTTTATTTATTCCAATTTCCGGGAACAGAAGAGAAAACTGATCCCCCTTTTGACGAATGCGATCATAGATGATTAAACCGCGGAGAAAAGAGCTTGTCGTTCTAACGGAACGCATTGCCAAGTTAAACATTTGGTTTAGATTTGGGCCTCGGCAAGAAGCCTAAGACCAACTTTTTTTTTTTTTTTTTTTTGTGAAAAGCCTAATACCAACTTTAGTGGTAGGCTGGAATTTCAAAAAATTACTTTAGTAAGGTTCTAAAAAGACAAAAGTTTTTATTGATCCAAAAATTAGTCCAAATTTGGCCCAGAAAAGGACAAAAAAATTCAAAAGAGAGTGTGACCACATGGGGTAAAAGCAGACGAGCCCACCTGCCAAAAAGAGCTTTAATAATAATAAAAAACTACTTTACCTTTTAACACCAACAATCTCTTCCAACGGCTCTTTCGGCCCAAACAAGAGACCGTCATTAATTAAGTCATATTTACAAATAATATTTTTTGGTCAGAATTCATAAAAATTGTCGAAATGTTCGTCCTAATTAATTAATAGTACCTATATAAAATTAATGAAAAAATTTTGTAATTAGAATGATGAAATATATACAAAACTGGATTATGAGTTAAAGTGCAAATCTGGAAATTTGGACTTTTGGAACACACTACTAATGCCAAAACACCTTTTGAGGGGCTAGAATTTGAACTATAGCCTCAAATTTTGGGCATTTGGATCTAATCACTAAAGATGGTCTAAGCCTACCTAACTCAAGATTTCAGCTATAATGGATTGATGGGATATTTTAGTGAATGGATTGGATTGAAAATTACTAGCTTTATTTGAATCTCATTGAGGAACCTTCTTTGTGTTACCCATTGCTGCAAAGGGGGTTTAGCACAAAATTGAAGATGGGTGACAATGATGAGCAAAGCATACAAATTGCGATATCAAGTGGAAAATGCAATAAGAGCATGCAAAGGAGGCAAATGATACATTCAAGCATTTCATCAAACACCTTGCGAGCACGAAAATGGGACATGAAAGTAATATTGTTGTTGATGTGACTTGAATCGGACTATCAGCTGCTACAACTGGATTAGTCGGGGGTCTGTAATTTGTAATCTCCTCGATATAGTGAAACTGGCTCTCTCTCTCCTGTGGACTAGCTAACACACATCGTGTTAGTGAACCACGTAAATTGTGTGTCTGTATCTTTCGATTCTCGCTTTCGTACTCTTGCTTTCTCGATTCCGGCGATTTCTCGATCCATAGTAGCGCGTTTATAACAATTGTAATGGGGTAAAAAGGCACATCCCATGAGAATTTGAACACCCCCAATCACAATAAACATGCATATGCCAAGGGTTTAGAAGAGCTAGACCAAAACTCATTTATAGCAAGGAAGCACATTCAAGTCATGGCAAGGGAGGTTTCAAGAAGGTGAAGCATTGAATATCTTCCTATGAGTTAAGAAGAGTTTCACTAACCTCCAATATACTAATTTGATAAGAAGTGCACTTTAAGGTGAGCTCTTAATGCTTGAATTGTGCTCTTGGGTGGTATGCCAAAGTTGAGATAAGGAAATGTAGAAAGGGAGATGCAATGTACAAATAAGAGCTAGAAGTTTAGGGGAAAAGAAAAGTGAACAAACAGGCCAAGATTGAGTATTTAAAATCGAGAGCGGTCAAGATCGCGAGCTAAACTCACTAGATCGTGGCTGCAAACTTGACCTCCTTAACCGCGATCGTTAGCTTCCCTACCCTTCAACCTCTAAGGATTAGCATGCAAAAGGGGCTATCAAACAAGTTGATCCCAATTTCATGTCATGAGAACTGAATGCATCAGGCTCAAAGTTCCTATAATAATTAGGGATTCTACTAGGGATAAAGAAAAAGAAAATCAAACTGAAACGTTGGGTTACCTCCCAACAAGTGCACCTTTAAGGTCTTATCGTCGGACTCTCCGAAATGAGTTAATTAGGAGGTGGTAGTATCCGCCCAATTATTGTTGTCATCATACGCACTCTTGTTATGAAGACTGAGGTGTATGCCATGTAGGCTTCCGTTACCTTCCTCCATAAATAGATCTAAGGGCAACCGTCCTACTTCATCCCGTTCCATAGGAGTGCCTATATGTGACTCTTCCTCGTGGATAGTAGTTGTAACCTTATTAGATGCTCCCCCAAGACCTACCTTGGACATCTTATTCTCTCCTTTAGCTATTCCAATACTAACATGCTTGGTCGCCAGATGGCCTGGATCAAGAATGGGTACCTCTTGAGAAATTCGATTTTCCGGTGGCAATGTCATTGCATAAGGTACAAATGCTGGAGAATCCCCTGTCTATCGCTAGAGAGGTTGATAACCAATTTGTCATCACCAAATTCCATGACGACTCTTCTTTGCGAACCTCGATCGTCACTCTACTGGTTGCTAAGAAAGTCTTCCCGAAAAAGGATGTGAGATGTTTCTTCTTCGATGTTCATTACCACGAAATCCACCGGCTAGGTAAAGGACCCAACTCTCACTAGGAGATCTTCAATAATTACCATAGGGTAAACTATTGTTCGATCCACCAGTCGTATGGCCATAATTGTTGGGGTTGAACTCTACCAAAATTTGGGCAAAAACCTGCTCTACACGCATTGGTACTAGATTGCTTTATCCTTCTAAAAGCTCGGTTAGCTCATTCTCAGCTTCCTTGATTTGGAGTTCTAGTTCCATTGCGTGCTTTGTTCATGCCTCTTCCTCCTCTATTTGTTTGCATAGCTCTTTGATTTGCTCTGGATCATTGTATTGAAAATCGTAAGGTTATCTTCTTCGGATGAGCTCCTTGAACTTTTCATTAAGCCCATTGAAGAAATTATCGTTGAGGAGACTCTCCGGATGTCTGTACGTTGGAAATTTGTAAACCATAGCATTGAATCTTTTCCAAGCTTTGTCGAAACTTTCTTAAGGAAAGCCAAGATGTTATTTCAAAAGAGGTTAAACATTGAACCAACGGGATAACAAAACACAAAACTCTCCATGATTTGGCTCCAAGAAGGAAAAGCTGAAGCCAGGAGCTCCTTGTACCACAAAGTCGATTCTCCTTCCAAAGAATAGGTGAATATGAAGCTATTGGGGTGGTTTCTATCACTTCCTGGTAATTTCACGGTATTTGTGAAACTCATGAAATTCCTCAAATGGTAAAAAGCACATTCATCATCTTTTCCTTGAAATCGAGATCTTTGGTGAAGGGCGGAGATGGCTCTTCTAAGGATGATATCCAGCTCATGGTCCTCCATCAAGAAAGGTATTTGAATTACAACACTCAAAAATCTTGGCTATTTTGTGTTTTTCGATAGTTATGGCTATATTTGTCACAAACGTAAAAGTTGTGGCTACGAGAATGTATTTTGCCTTTATAATTGAGTTATATGTATAATATGCACCTCTACTTTGTATTTTTCTCAAACATATCCCTCTATTTTAAATCACATCAAACCTATCCTTCAATTTTTAAATACTACTAAAAAAATACCTCTCTGTTTACTTTTCCGTCTCATAGCATCAAATTTGTCCCAACAAAATCGGGGCAACATGATATAATTGAAATGGAATGTTAAAAGACTTTACTACCCCCACTTGTGACCTCTTACGCATCTCCAGAACATTCTTTAATATCTTTAAAATCGAACACTGTGATTGATTTCAGATCCCTATCCTCACCCTGGGTCATTCGCCAACTCCCAAACCTAAATACCATCCGCGAACTTGATGCGGCAGCGACCACAAATAGGTAGCTCTTTGTTGAGATAATTTATATCTGAATTCCACCATCCACTAACTTAATTATATCGAAACTATGTTGTGACGGGCTTAATAAGCCTGCCGGGAGCAGGGTTGGGTTTACTGGAAGGATCCACAGTCGAGTAGAGGGGACCTAAGGTCGACAATGGTTGATGTGGTGGCGGCACCATCAGGCATCAAGGGGAATGAATGGTCGGAAGGGTTCGGTCGGTGGAGAGGGAGGGAATCAATGCGAGTCTGTGAGGAAGATACCCTTGTTGATTTAAAGGCGACAAGGTGGTGGTGGTGATGACAATCAAACACCGGGAGAAGATGGGTGGTTGGAAAATTAGGGAAGGCTCGAAGTTGGTGTCTCGTTGCAGGAGCAGCTTCTTGCCGAAACTTTTAGAGAAATACTTAAAAAAAACAGTTGAATGTTTGACAGAAAAACTATTAGAAGTTCTTTTTAATATAACAAGTTATGTAAAATGACTATAAAGGATATATAATATAAAATATGAACAAAATTTTTAAACAATTAAAGGTAGTCAAAATGGATCTTGTTAGATTTATTTTATATTATTAAATAATATGAGTTAATAATTTATTTTATTTATAAAATGATAAAAATGAAAGAAAATTTTATTTTTTTGAAATAAAATCAAAATATAACAAGAATAATCTTGTATTTTCAAAACAGGTTTTCACAGAAGCTCTAAATCGGAGCTTTTGCTTTTATGTAATACAAAAGCACTTTTCGGCTTTTTAAAAGCCGAGTTTTTTGAGGTGTTTGGCCCTACTTAAACTTTTGAAGCTGAAAAGCACTTATAAAATCCGGGCCAAACATAGGCATTACGTTATGATCACTTATTTTACTTTTTATTTTTTATTATATCTATCGGTTTTCTAAACGGGGTTTCCGGTTAATCTCCTGTTATAAACCGTGAACCTCTCTCTAATTCGGATCGACTTCCTTTCCAGTTCTGACAACATTGGATTTTATAGATGAAGGATTATGCCGGATTTTGTCATTTTGGATTTGTGTTGGATTTTAAAAAGTGCTTGTTTGCTTGTTAGATTTCATATTGGATTTGTGTCAATGTGATTAATTAATTATAGTATGAATTTGCATCTATATCCTTAATGATTTATGTCCTTAATGTTCATTCAATATATGAAATATTGAAAAGTGATGAGAATATGCATGTCATTTATCGTAATGGATTTTAGCCCCCTACAAAATCCCAACTAAATAGATGAGATTTTAGAATCCATGGACCCCACGATTTTGATTTCAAAATAATTTCATATGTATGGGGCCCACACACCATAATCTAATACCACTTTAACAACAAACATAAACTTTGTGCATAATCCCATGAGTTTGGAATTTTAATCCAAAATTCATAATAAAAATCCTACAAGCAAACGACCTCTTAATATGCAACATTGTGCATGTGGAGGTAAATTTCAACTATCTCACTCAATATGTGCGACATTACACATGCTAGGCTAAACTCTACCTATTTCGATTGGTATGCATAAGCATCACTCTTAGAGCTGCAAACGAGCCAAATTACTTACGAGTGCTTCCACATTTGGCTAGTGAAAATTTGATTAACACTCGACTCATTTACTAACGAGCTGAGTTTGAGGTAAGCTTTGTTCAACTAAGAAGGCTTGTGAGCCAGCTCGCCTTACTAGTTTGTTGAGTTCAACACGTGAGCTATCTCGTTTTGTGCTATGAGCTTGCTCGATAGTATGACTAGCAAGTCGCCTCAACTAGCAGCTTACGTTCGAATCGATTAGTAATTTATTATTGTCTTGTTGATAATTCATAGGTTTGTTAGATTATATATTTCAACACATATGTGCTTTAAAAATGTGAGCACGTTATCAAATATGTTTCATTTATAATTTAGAAGAGAAACTATGTACCACAGATTGTTCAAGTACTAATTATTATTATACGATATGAGCAATTAAAAATTATAAACTAAATAATATGATACCTTAACTCGATTCAATCTCGCAAGCTAATTGATCAGCCAAGCTCGTTTATGAGCCGAGATCGAGTCCAACTCAATGCAACATTTTGATAAACAAGAATTCTACTAATTTATTAACGAGCAGACCCAAAATTAGATCAAAATTCGGTTCAGCTCGACTCATTTTGCCATGGTTAAGGATGGCAGTGAGGCGGGTTTGGCTAAACCATTCTCATCCACGTTTTCAAATATCAAAACCCATACCCGCCCCATACCGATGCATGGAGGATTTTTGAAACCAATGCCCATACCCGTGGGTGTCGGGTACCCATGAGTAATACCCGCCCCATACATCCATCGTGATAACACCTAAATTTTATATATAAATTTTTAGTTATAACACTAAACGCACCTACTATATCCTGAAGTCGACAAAGAGACAATCATTCTTAACATGGTTCAAAATATATTATCCTAAAGCATCCGTTAATCTATAAGATAGAATGCAATGTAATCCAAATCATTATTCTCTTACTCTAATACATCTACTAAGTAATAACTAACTAACATAATCTTGTTAACAATCGAAACAATGAAAGAGTGAAGGGAGAGTTGAGAAAAAAGAATTAAGTTTTGATTTGGGTAGCCACCCAATTACATTTCTACTAAATATTTTCTTGAGTTACCCTCACTATTATAGATAGGTTACAATTTATCAATGTATTTTATATATGTGAAGAAATTATCCTAATGGGGCGGGGATGCTAAAACCATACCCTCCCCATACCCATCAAATGTTTTGCGGGTTTTACCCATACCCGCCTCATACCCGGTCAAAGCGGGTACTCGTAGTAATGAGTTTGATTGCCATCCCTAGCCATGGTTAGGGGTGTACATGGGTCGGGTTGTCCGGGTTTAGGCATTTTAATCACCCGACCAATGCACTACGATTTGTGAATTATTAAACCCAAACCCACCCAAAAAAAATTAAACCGTACGATTTGTTTCTAATTGGGTTGGGTCGGCTTGGCGATATTTTTAAGTAAAAACCCAACCTAACACAAAATATATAATTATTCTATACCATAAAATATTTTATAACTAATTAAAAATTAAAACGAATAAACCGAGGTGATAGGTATCAAAATTCACAAATGTTTTTGAATTTTAATAAAATTTGATTTACTTCAACTTATATCTAGTTTTTTTCACGACATATGTTGAAATAGGCTAAAAAGGTTATAAATGAGTGCATATTATTCTATTAAAATTGTACATAAGAAAAGGATTACGCGAATCATAGCTATATTAGATTTATGTCTAAACTTTAAGCCGAATAATGCATTAGATTAGGGAGACCATGAGAGAAAAATATGGCAAAATATATTAAATTTCTCATAACATAACTATATACGACATAAATATTTTTTTTGGATACGAACTCATACCAATAATTGGAACACATGTTAGGTCAGGTTCTACGGGTTGTATAACCCAAAATCCAAACACAACCTAAAAGAGACGAGTTGTATAAAAGAGAACCCTCACTCAACCCAAAAACCTTCATTTTAGCGACAAATACAAGTGAGTTGAATCGGGTTGGACGAACAAACCTATTTGCGAGCGTGTTTGTTCAGCCCTAACCACGGTAAGCGCACTAGAACTTTTAATTTCGCAATATTTGTGTCAATCATGTAAAGGGGCGTGGACTGGAATCCTGACCTCCACAACCACAACAACATCCCACTGGCCACTGGCAGTGCCAGGCTGCCACCATCTCATCGTCTGCTGTCGTTTTCGGCCTTTTCCTGTCGTCCAACCTATCCCACCCACCGCCACGACGTCGTCTTCATATCCCTCCCTCCCCAACCACGCGCACAACGGCAGAATCTCCCCCGTATTTATTGCCCGTTTCCAAATCATTTCCCATACCCTTCTTTCTTTCCGTTTTCTACTTTTATCCTCTCGCTGCTGGTCTCGCCTGAAAGAAGAAAAAAAAAAGTGAAATAAACAAAGGAAAAAAAGGATAACACATTGGAGAAAGGGAATACGAACGGACCACCGAGTCCACCGGAATTTCGATTTGCGCTCGCCGGAGAGTTCCATTTCCCCGTCTTCCAATACGAATTAGACAACTGTTCCTTCTCTTCTCGATCTGTTCGCCCCTCAGGTAAGTCGTCGTCGTCTTCCCCTCTCTCTCTCGGAAACTTTCTTTTTTCAGATCTACGTGCCTCGGCGAGAGTGGAACTTCACGATTAATCTGTGTATATGGATCTCGCAGGTTCGAGAGATCTGAGAGGAAGGAATTTGGAGATAAAGTGAGAGCAGTATTAGTATTTGTTGAGACGGAACAGGAAACCAATGGCGCATAGGGTAGATCACGAGTACGATTACCTCTTCAAGATTGTGCTGATCGGAGACTCCGGCGTCGGTAAATCCAACATTCTTTCCCGCTTCACCAGAAACGAATTCTGCTTGGAGTCCAAATCTACTATCGGCGTCGAGTTCGCCACCAGAACTTTGCAGGTCAGAAATGCTCCTCTCTCGATCGATTTACTTTGGTTTTCGCACGAGCCTGCTGGACGTCTTGAATTCTGTTATTCTTGCTCCTTGTTATTGGGTGCCGGAAGTGTTCAATTGTTTCTCGTCTTCTTTCGCTATTCCGCGCCCTGCCGTGATCATGAAATGTTTGATTGCCAATTTTGGTATTCTCTGATCTGTTGTATTGTCCTGGAAAATCCTAACAAGGCAATTCAGTCATCGGTTTTGTTAAGCTAATTGATGCAAGAAGCAAACTTCGTTTGGTGAATACTTGATTACCATAAAAGAGTGTGTAGTTGTGCTGATCAGACTGTGTGTGCTTACTCCAGAGGTGAGTGTAATGCTTCGACTGGATTCTTTAGATGTTTAGGAGAACTGGAGAAGGGTTCTTTAGATGGCCTAAATCAGTGCAAGTATCAATGTGCGCCAGCTATTAGTTTCTGGTTGAAGAGCTAGTCTGCTGAACTGGGGATGTGTAATGTGACGAATGCAAGCATTAGCACCTTTCGTTTGTCTGAAATGTTGTTTTTTTTTTTCTTTCTTATTGGCATAGGTGGAAGGAAAGACTGTAAAGGCTCAGATTTGGGATACAGCAGGCCAGGAGAGGTACCGAGCGATCACAAGTGCTTACTACAGAGGTGCAGTTGGTGCACTCCTTGTCTATGACATTACCAAGAGGCAAACGTTCGACAATGTCCAACGGTGGCTACGGGAGTTGAGAGACCATGCAGATTCCAACATTGTCATAATGATGGCTGGGAACAAGTCCGACTTGAATCACCTGCGAGCTGTTTCGGATGGAGATGGCCATACCTTGGCCGAGAGAGAAGGGCTCTCGTTCCTCGAGACGTCGGCACTTGAAGCTACAAATGTCGAGAAGGCGTTCCAGACGATACTGACAGAGATATACCATATCATAAGCAAAAAGGCACTGGCTGCACAAGAAGCGGCTGCTAATTCTTCAATTCCTGGCCAAGGAACCACCATCAATGTTGCAGATGGCTCAGGCAATGTTAAGAAAGGAGGTTGCTGCTCTGCCTAAGGAGAGCTCATGTCATGTACTGATTCAATGGTTAGAAATCACTGTGGGCAGGCAACCATTCTTCCTTTTTATTTTCACCACCTTTTGGGTTTTCATTTTGCAAATTTTGGCCAAGAGGAGACCTGTAGATTACTCTGTTCCCCGTAAATTTGAGAATGTGAAATTTGCAAAGATCCTATTTCTAGATTTCAGGGTGGCCTTTTTCTTTCTCATCTTTTTTATTTCTTTGTATCTTACCCTTTTAAACAAGCTTCAGTATGATGATAGCACGGATGTAGAGTGATCAAACCATATATAATTATCTAAAGTGAAACTTTTGGAGACACATAGTCCCTCAGACCATAGAAATTCGCTTTCTTTTCGCTGATCTTCTACGCCACTCTTCGTTTTAACAGTGGAATGCTAGGCGACCATTCAAAGGTGGAAGTCCACTAGCCAAAAGACATGCCAACCATTACAACAATTAGTAAGTACACCCTGGCAGTGACAAATGAAACAGGCACAGTTGAGGTTTGGTGAGAGAATTAAATAAGCACAGCACCAACCACATTTGCAGCTATATACATCCAAGTCAAATGACCTTAATCCTGGAATCAAACAGCTCCTTTCTCTTGACCGCCGATCAAAACCCATGTGACAATGCGATATGTAAAGCCAAACAACAAAAGTGTTTTACAGGAATTTTCTAAAGGGTTAATAATACCTCAAATTGGTCCGAACTATATCTAAATAATCATTTTTTATCCGTGGTTTTAGAAATTGCTATCGTAGCCTTAATTATACACGATATAATCAAGTTTGACCATACGCGTGTTTTGACCGTCAATTTGGACGATCAACACGCCAAATCACTACCTCATCATCCTAAAAATTATTTAAAAAATTACAATTCAATTTTTTTTCTTCTAATTTCTACTATTAACCATTTTAAGAGAGAAAAATCATTCCTATTTTATTTTCTTCTTTCTCCACCGTCCAAGTAACCTAGCGGCGGGGGATCAACAATGACATCTGAATGAAAGCCAGTCGCTCTTGCCTTCTCCGACCACTTCTCTTGTTAATGACCTTAGGGACTTGTCCTTTGGCCAGAAAACCTTCTACCATGTAGATTAACTCTTGCACGTCAACGGATAACTCTCCATTTGCATTTTCACTGATCCAATTGTGAGATATGAATATCCAAAGTACGCATCATGAAACAAGTTTGACACTTGATCAAATTCTGCTTGTTCTTCCCAACTTGGATTGCTTCTTTGGCAAGTAATAGAAACTTATGTACTTGGCTACTTGGGAACATATCACACTTTATGTATTTTGGAAAGAAAAATATATTTATAGAAGTGGTATAAAAAAACTAAGGTGCATAATATCTATCATCGCAATTTCTTAAGCCGAAACGTATCGAAATATATATTATTTTTAGATAAAAATTAATTTATATTTTGAAGTTCGAGATCAAACGAAGAATACACAATATTAGATTAAAAAATTATGTATTAAAAAGGTCATTGGGATCCCAATCATTTGTTTAATGAAAGATCTCGAGATTAATTAATTGGGTGCACCTATTGTGACATGCATGTCACCATAACTTGCACTTTTTGGTCGACCTCAGTTAGAATTATGTCGACCTAATATGTTGTTTCAGTGTAAAAACAGTTTCATGGTGCCTACTTTGGAGATTAATGACTTACTTTGAAGCTGGAGTGTCCCTCTACACATTGAAGTGCTTAGGAGCTCGATAGGAAGTCAAGAAGACCATTTTTGAACCTGATCAAAATGTTATGCCAAAACTGGGAAACTGCCTGAAAATGCCTAAGTCTGGGAAAGTGTTTGTGAAGTGTACTTTGGAGCTCAATTCGAGAAGCATGGATGAAATTCGAGTCTAGGGGCCTCTACTACATGAAAGTAGGTATGCTTGTCTACCAATTCAAGGCATTGTATGTAATATTGGATATCTGGAAGGCTTCAAACAAAAGGCTCGAAGTTCCTACGAAGTAAGCTGCCTTCGAGCACAAGACTGAAACGACAGATTAGGTCGACCTGATCCTATATGAAATCGACCTAAAAGTGCAAGTTACGGTAACATGCATGTCACCGTAACAAAGTCCTAATTATAAAGTTTGCATAATTTTGAGGTTATGCAATCCAAATTCGACTTAAAATTGCCAAATCTTCAGGCACTAGAAGGTAAAAGAACTATGTAAAAGAAACTAAACTTGTATTAGAGAAAAAAGTAAATGCAACACTTTTAATAAGCATGTATTTTTTTTTATAGAAAACCTGGTGAATATTATTAATAAAAGCTTTCGGCCCCATGGCCCACATCATCCTCAATAAGGCATCTGAGATACATAGGTGGATTGTCCACCCACACCCATTGCTGATTCCAGCCCAAACCCACATGGGCTAACCAGTGAGCCACCGAGTTGGTTTTCCTTGGAGAGAAAACCCACCTCACCTTATCCCCAACCAGAGATTCGTTGACCGATGCAAGCTTCCTCAATTCCTCACACAGAACCCCCAACTCCGTGAAATCTTCATCTCCATTCTTCAGCATCTTCACCAGAGATTGACAGTAAGACTCGACTATCAACGGCCCAAGAAGACGGCGATTGGCCTCTCTAAGACCCATCACCATCGCTCTAGCTTCTGCTTCAATCGGCCGGCACACCCCTTTTTCCTTTTTGGCCAAAGCACCCACAAAAGCCCCCTGCCCGTCCCTGAAGATGCAGCCGAAGCCGATTCCCTGCTGCTGAAAAACCCCGGCGTCAGTGTTGAGTTTAATGAAACCCTCCGGAGGAGGGGACCATCGTCCATTCTGAGCGACCCGACCAGCTGAAGGCGAGATGGACATCTGGGAATCAGAGGAAGATTGAGCAGCAAGATACGACGACAACCAGCCCAGCGCCCGAGGGACAATTTCCTCTTCATCCAGTTTTTGGTTGTTGAATTTATGGTTGCATCGCTCCTTCCACAGGTACCAAAGAATCGAACAGAACCTTTGCACTTTGTTTTCAGGGTAATTCCTAAGAATAGTCCCAATCCATTCACTGCTAGTCTTGCCATCACCCAATTCGAAGAGCTCTTTTTCCTCACAATCTTTCCAACGTCTCCTTATCCAATCGCAGGTATGGAGTGCATGCATCTGGGTCTCCACGAGATTGCAGAAGGGGCATTCCGGGGCAGCCCTGTCAATCCATTCTTCAATATTAACTCCCACAGGTAAGATTTCTCTGCAAACTTTCCACAGAAAAACTCGGACTTTGGGCTGAACATTAAGCTTCCATAGGACTTTCCACATCTCCGAGTCCTCCTGATTCTTAGTGAGAGACCTAGTCTGGTATTGGGCTTGACTTCTTCGAATGAGATAGTAGGCTGATTTTACCGAATAGATTCCATCTTCCTCAGCCTTCCAAACCCTGGAATCGTGCCCCAGAGGGGTTTTTAGGGGGATCTTAGCAATAAGGTTCTGGTCACTGGTAGAGAACAGAGCTTTGATTTTTTCCATATCCCAACCCCCTGAACCATAGTCAATAATGTTGCTCACCCGATCCTCAGTAATTTCTCCTGTAGGCACTGGATCTGCTTGATAAAAGCTTTTGCCTGGGATCCATTCATCCTTCCAGATTTGTATTGATTCTCCGTTACCAACTCTCCATCTAAACCCTTCCTCAATCTTCTCCTTCGCTCCCATAATACTTTTCCAGATGTAGCTAGGTTGATAACCTAGTTTAGCCTGCAGAATATCAGTCTTCGGGAAATAGCGAGCCTTCAACACTCTTGCCATGAGAGATTGAGGTCTAGTGAGCACATTCCAAATTTGTTTACCAAGCATTGCATAATTGAAAGATCTCAAATCGCGGAATCCCATACCCCCCTCTGCTTTATCGTCACAAAGATCGTCCCACTCCAGCCAGTGTATCTTGAACTCTTTTCCCTTCTGTCCCCACCAAAAGTTCGCGATCAATCTTTGGATTTCCTTTAGAGTACTCTCTGGAATGTGAAACACAGACATGGGATATAAGCATTGAGCCTGAGCAATCGCTTTGATCATTATCTCCTTGCCAGCAGTAGACATAGTTCTGCTCTTCCAATCCTTAAGCTTCTTCCTAACCCTCTCCTTGACCTCCTCAAAAATAGCCTTCTTCGATCTTCCAATAACAGTCGGCAAATCGAGATACTTAGGCAGTTTTTCAACCTCTTTTATACCCAAAGTTCCACAAATCTCCAGCCTCCTGCTAGTCCTCACATTTTTACTAAAAGAAAGTTCTGACTTTGAGAAATTCACCAGCTGCCCATATTCATTGGCATAGATTTTCAGGATATCCTTCAGTTGGTCACATTCCTTCAGAACCGCTCTCCCAAAAATAACACAGTCATCCGCAAATAAGAGGCGTGAGATGGTTGGGGCCTTCTTCCTCATCTGGATCCCATGTAGATTACCCTCCTCCTCAGTTTTCTTAACTAGACTCGTAAGGCCTTCTGCACACAAAAGGAATAAGTAGGGGGATAGGGGGTCGCCCTGTCTTAGGCCCCTAGAAGGAGAGAAAGTATCAGATTTGTGCCCATTAACTAGTATAGAGTAAGTGACAGAGGTAACACATTTCATCACAAGGGCCACCCATCTTTCCTCAAACCCAAGTTTCTTCATGACCCTTTCCAAGAAATCCCATTCAACACGGTCATAGGCCTTGGCCATGTCCAATTTTGCTGCGAAGAATCCATCTTTCGCCTTCTCCCTTCTCTTCATAAACTTAGGAATGAGAGCGATCAGAGTGTGGTTCAGCTCAGTGGGAAGATCACCACTAGTAAAGAAGTTCTTGACTGTCTCAATCACCTTATAGCCTATAGCAGTCCAATTCTTCTGGATTGAAGTATGTCAAAAATAAAAAGAATGGATTGAAATTGCATTAAATGAAAATTCATTGTACATTTTAAAGAAATATACATCAATGCTCCGTCATTTAGCAAATACTTATGTGTCAAAAAATTTCTCACAACAACCGTAATATAAATTAAAATAAGATAAGATTCCAAGTTTTTACTTTTATGGAGTATTTGGACAGGTGTATTTAAAATATAATATATTTAAATGCATGTATTTGAAATGCAAGCATTGGAAATACATGTAATTTAAATTCCTTGTTCGAATAATTATTTGTAATTTGTTGGCATTCTTGTTTTTAAATTGAGTTTTGAATTTTTTGGCAACTCATTACAAATTCTGGTAAATTACATTTTTGTATTCAAATTTATTTTTTCTTACTATTTAATGTCTAAAATTTTAAACTTTCACAAAAAGGTCAATGAATTTTGGTGGTAAAATTAAATTTTGATAATTTTATGTATTTTGTCTCACACTATAGTACCTAAGCTTTTAAGTATTTGCAAACAGGTTCAATCTCTCGTTTGATAAATTTCAAATCACTAGTTGTTGAAATATATTTGAAGTGGACAAGTAATATACTAGATATGCATTTGAAAATCATCCCATAAATTTGGCACAAAATCAAGTACCATATATAATTAATATCAAAACAAATTATTTGACATCTAAAAATTCAAATCACAAATATCAAATCCTAAATAGGGATCACAATGGGGCGGGTTGGGGGGGGGGGGGGGACATCTTCGCTTTTGCATATCCATAGCCATACCCGTGGATTTCTGGTACCCATGGATGATACCCGTCTCGTACATCCGACATTATAATACCTAAATTTTACATGCAAATTTTCAATGATAACATTAAATGCACCTACTATATCATGAAGTTGACAAATTGACAATCATTCTTTAATTGGCTCAAAGCATCTTATCCTTAAACATCCATTAATTCATAGAGATATAGTACAATGTAATCCAAATCATTATTCTCCGACTTTGATACATCTACTAAGTAAAAACTAACTAACATAATCCTGTTAACTCGATGGAAAAAGCGAAAGAGTGAGGGGAGAATTGAGGATAAGGAATTAGGTTTCGATTTGGGTGACCACTCAATTGCATTTCTACTATTTATTTTCTTGAGGTACCCTCACTATCATTGATACATCACGATTTGATCCATGTATTTTTTATAAGTGAAGAAATACTATTGATGGGGCGAGTATGAGTATGTGTATGAGACAAGAGAGGCTAAAACCACACCCGCCCCATACCTATCAAACATTTTGCGGGTTTTACCCATACCCGCCCCATACCCAATCAAAGCGGGAATTCCTCGCGTTGATTGGGTCGGGGGAGGTCGGGTACCCGTGGGCAGTGGCGGACCCAGGAATTTTACATAGGGGTGTCCTCTTAAAAAAATTTAAATAATTATTAATTATTAAAAAATTATTAAAAAAGAAAATACCCAATTATTAGAAGTTAAAAAAGTCCATGATATAATTTCATATTCTGAAAAAATTGTAAAATACACTTGGTGTCTACACCGCTCAACAAATTTGTTTAGGTATATCTTACTAGACAATCATTGACGAATTGATGCATATTCGACTTCTAAATTTGTTCTTGATGCAACTCAATACTGAAAAGACACTTGCAACACTTATCGTACAACCATAAAATCAATACAAATTAAGGGTAGTTTGTAATTAGATTAATTATTAGGTTTTGGAAAATAATTGAAGTTAGATAATAGGATTTTGCTATTACAAAGTGTTTAGAATAGAACAACAAAAAAATTTAGCCTAATGAAAATTATATTTATTAATAATAGTAGTGTCTCGGATTTGAATTACCCAAACTACCACTTATATTCCCATATGCAAACTACAAACGAGAGTAAAATAATGGGTTTTTCAAATTTCGTGGTATCCCAAACTACTTATTATAAATTTTTTTGTCCATACGTAATTAATCACTGGAGGTTGAATAATCAATTTTCTAAATTTTTGCGGTGTCTCAGGACACCCTTAAAAGACACCGGGATCCACCCTGCCCGTGGCATGGATTTGATTGCTATTCCTAATCCTAAAGTCTAAACAAATCGTTAAAAAATAACTATTTGACTCCACTTGCCGAAAACGGGCTGGGTATCAGGAAAAAGGGGCTAGCCGCACAGGCCCAGTTATCGGATTGAGAGCAGGACTAAACGCGTCTTCCCCATTCTTCCCTGCTCAGCTCACGCAGTCTCCCGCCCTCCTTTTCCTTGTCCTTTTCGAGTTCGGAAGCAGCAATCGTAAAAGACACAAACTTGGCCTTTTCTATTTCTTCTGGACAATGGGCAGCTGAACTCTACGTGGGTTATTCGGACGCAGGTTCGAGCGCGACAATGTTCTTCCACATCGTATTGGAGAGGAACATGCAGTTGCACCCTCGCTACTTCGGTCGCAACCTTCGCGATAATCTCGTATCCAAGCTCATGAAAGACGTTGAGGGAACTTGCAGGTTTCCTCTCCTTCAATTCCATAATCGTGGTTTCGTACCTCTTATCATCGCGCTTGCCCCTTTTCCCGCTCGATTTTGCTGGCATTGCGTTTGGTTGCGAAGAAATAGGCTTACAAGACAATACATTTCGGACGATTCGCATAGCTAAAATGGTACTTCGATGGTTTTTAGGATCAGAATTAACTGTAACTTGACTATGAAGTAGGCAGGCCAGGAGTTGAGGTCTCTGGCAGTTTGGGCCATAAAATTTTGATGAACCTGATGGGACAAGGTTTCTGGCTCTTATCTATGTATATCTGTAGCTAGGAAGAGTCTTAAATGAAGAGTCTTTTTTATCTTTTAGTTCAAGTTAGTTCTGATACCAGTCTAATCGAGCTCCTTGGTTTAAACATACTAGTAGTTCAGATCACTCTGGCTATGGATCTTCAGTGACTTAGCTGCTGCGATTAGATCTCCCTTTTTTCATCATATAGTTTCAAACAATTAGGTTCTCTTCACCTTGAGATGAATTTTGATTCCATTTAACATGTGAATAAATGAGTGTGAGGAATTGATATTAGGACTTAGGAGCAAGCTTCTCATGTCTCATATTTTGGATCTTAGCACTGCACTGACACAGATGGTTTTAGTTCTTATTGAGGGTCAGATTCTAGGCAATGTTCCCGTCGCTGTGAATGAAAAACGTCTATTTCAAATTGGTTTCAGTTACTTGGAACACCTGGCTTGTCTAAATGGTTCTGATGTATTTGTCGTGATCAACTGTTTCGTGCTTACTGCAGTGGTAAACATGGGTTCGTGGTAGCAATAACAGGCATAGAAAACGTTGGAAAAGGGTTGATCAGAGATGGTACAGGTTTCGTGACTTTTCCTGTAAAGTACCAGTGTGTTGTGTTCAGACCATTTAAGGGCGAGATCTTAGAAGCTGTTGTAACCATGGTAAACAAGGTGAGTGGTTGTCTCTTGTATGGCAGTGATTCAGTTCATATTTCATGGATCTTACCCTTGGAGTGTGTTGATCTTACATTCTCGGATATATTACTTTGCAGATGGGATTTTTCGCTGAAGCTGGTCCAGTGCAGATCTTTGTTTCAAACCATGTAAGTTGTATAAGTTGATCGACTGTGTGATATGTTGTTATTGAAGACATTTGATATTTTTCCTGTTGTTGGCCTTCCTTTGACATGGGAACTGGAGGATAGAACATGGTTGTTAAGATCGAAGAAATTTTCTACTTCACATTTTAGCATTCTTAACATCCGCATATTTACTTGAGCTCGTTTTCAGCTTCATGTATCTGTGTTTGTAGGATCTCTTCTTAAATTGTCTAAGAAACTTGATGAGCGAACAATGATTTACCCTAATAGTATGCATCTACTATATGCAACTTGGTGCTAATATTTTCTTTTGGCTCTGTAGTTGATATCTGATGACATGGAGTTTCAGTCTGGAGATATGCCAAACTATACAACTTTTGATGGATCGGTTAGCTTCTGTGATCTACTTGTTTATGAAAATGAATGCATATACCATTCTCTACATCACTAATTTCTTTTCCTTTACTTTTGCTAACACTCCAGATTAAGATTCAAAAGGATAGTGAAGTGCGTTTAAAGATTATCGGGACACGTGTTGATGCTACAGAAATCGTATGTTCTTGAATCCTCCTTTCAGTTAGACCCCCTTAATTTGTGCCTAATGCGCATGCCACTGGTTTATGAATATATCTGGTATGGGGGAGTCCTACGATTGACAATGTGAATTTTTTCCTATTGCTCATGCCTCCGCTTTATGCATCCATCTGGTATGAGGGAGTCCTGCGGTTGATAATGTACTTCGAACTAAATTTGAATGTCATTGAATTGATTTGCAGATAAATTAAATATTGTAAATTAATCACTCTCCAAGAGCTTGAAACTCTAACAACAATACCTAGCAAATAAGCTTTTAGCTATCTCAAATCAAGGAGACGTCTTTCTCCTAGCTGTTTATCTTGGGTCTATCCTAATGTTCATGAACTTAGGAGGTTTACTAATAGAACCTCTGTTGCATCAACAGTTCTGCATTGGTACGATAAAGGATGACTTCTTGGGCGTGATCAACGATCCTACGGCCTGATAGGGAAAGCTGGGGCGTGGTAGTTGTAGATCTGAGCTTTGTTTCTTATAGTTGTATGAGCACCAGGCTTCTGATGCAGACCATCGAGCATGGTGGCACCGGCCTGTACTTCTTGTCTTGAGCAAGCTCTGTATAAATCGTGGGAAAGTAGTTCTATGTGCTTGCAGGGAATGAACTGTATCTGTGTTGTCCATGTTGGATGGTTCTTGAGAGTTATTTTAAGGTCCAAGATTTTCGACTGGGGTCGAGTTTTTGGCTTTACCTATGTATTAGTTTGAGCTGCATAATTGTTGCAGTAGCTTGTAGCGGAAGTTGGATCATTGAGGTTAGGGGTTGTTTGTCGATGTGTACACTTACACTCTGTTTCTGAAGGGAGGGAGGAAAATGGAGAGAAAGGAAAGTTTGGAGGGGAGGGAAATGGAGGGAAAGGAAAATTAGAGGAGAGGAAAATGTTGTTTTATGGAGGAAAGTGAAAGGAAAAGTGGGAGAGAAGATATGTAGTGGGAAGTGTGATAGATATGTTATTTTATTGGTTATATAATAGTAAATAATTAAATTATGTGATGATATTATTTCTTACTTATGATTAGTGAATCAAATTTATTTTTCTTGCTAATTTGGTTTTTTATTAAAAAATTCTCTTGATTTAAAATCTGATTCATTTTAATTATATTAAAAAAATTCCTATTAAAATTGGATTGCCTTTGTTGTAAAAGAAGACATGTTATATGGTATTACTCATATGTTAGATGAGATTTATATAATATTAGAAATGCAAGAACAATATAATGACATTTTTCATATATCTGGACTAAAACGGTCGGAACCTTAATCCTCAACCCACTTGCTCGACTGGACTAACGAGCTAAACCGGGTTGACAACCATGTGTAACAAACTTTTACGTGTCACGTAACAATATTACGTATCGCGTAAACAATATCATATGTATGAGTATAAATGGATATAAAATCAATTGTACTTCGGTCAAACCGTACCTATTACAAAATCAACGTAAAAGTATAAATTAGTTTGCCAATTCTATTCATAATTATCCTTACCATATAATTACTCACCATAATAATTTATTTTTAAATTTATGTTTAACAATAAGTGATAAGTTACCATTTATAACAAAATATATATGTCTAACTCTTCATCATACGTAAAGCAAAACAAAGGAAAGAAAGAAAAAAAAAAAGAATGACCCACCAGAGAGCTTTCTGTCCAAATTGGGGGTAGGGTTCTACAGGAACCTTTCCCTTCCCATTTCCATTCCCTCCACCCATTCTCTCCTTAAGAACAGGGGACAAGTCCTCGTTATTTGTGCTTTCTTCCCTTTCTTTCCCTCCATTTCACTTTCTGCCATTTATGAACATAGTGTTAATGGTGAATCGGGCAGGTGGAGCTTCCTCCAAACATTATCTGAATCCCATCCGACTCCTCCTCCTTCCCCAATCCTAAAACCCGCCATCGCTTACGGGGCAAAACGCTCCTCCCTCTGCGACAGATCCCTCCAACTCTGCATCGAGAATCTCAACTCCGAAACAGGGCCCGACAACGCATCCACCACAGACTACAACGGTCGGAATTACCTCTTCTCCGCGTCTTCATCGTGGGTAGCACCCTAATCGGAATCGAATTCTCATTTGGGTGGAGAATGTTGTTTGTGTGTTTTTTTGGAGAGAGGGGGAAGTTGTGAATGGAGAAGAAAGAAGAAATTAGGATTTTTTTATTTATTTTAAATAAAGTGATAATGAGGTGGAAATGAGATGGCAATTTGAAAAATATTAATTTTATTATTTTTAAATTTCCCGTCACAAATTTAACGGTCAACTTTTAGAGTTGGCCGCCTTGTAAGTAAAAGCTAACGGAGTTGGACGGAGGGTGACCAAACGTGAACGGTTTCAGTAAACTGAAATACCACCAATAGATTTAAATATTTCGAGTGACCAAACTTGAACGTTTTTTTGTAATCTCAGTGACCAACCATGCAATTAACATGAGGATTGTGCTTGGCCACAGTGAGAAATTAGCCCTAGCATTTGGACTCATCAACACCAGCAATGCAGAGCCAATTCGGATCACCAAACACCTTTGGTTGTGTGAAAGATTGTCACCCTTTACCAAAGTTCATATAAAATTTGTGCACGTAAAGAGATTCCGGTGAGAAGCGTTTCACCATTTTCGGAATGGGGTTTGTTCTTGTGGGGATTATTGGTGATAATCAAGGTGACTCCTCATATTCTGTTTCTGCTTGCACTCTTGGCACACATAAAAGTCCGAAAGCTTTCATATTTTTTGGTGGCACGTATGTATATCAACTCATACACCTTACAGTTTTGAGAAAATAATACGCCCTTGTGAGATCTGGTAATAGCCATTCATCGTTCTTTCCCGTAGCAAGGTAGGCGAGTTCTGTAGGCAATAAGTATCTCAGGTTGTCTTTCATTGTCCCACAGCAGAAACAGGCCTCGTAGGTTATCCCAAATACCACCAAATCCAGATGGCTTTGAAGAGTACACAATAGACACAAGGTTTTGGCATCCCCACATTACTTTCCTGGACCCAAATCGAAGAAAGTAACATGAGGGAAACTGCCCTTCTACTCTTCCAGCTGGCTTGTTCGCCCTAAAGTCGAGCATTTCAAAAGCTCTAGTAGGTACAAAAAGCCTGCAGTGGAGGTCAGCTAGTCATGAAGTATACGATGAATGAATAGTATACTCTCTGCTTTCTCATTGAGTTGTCACGGAGCCATCCTGCTTCATCTTGATGAGACTGCTTTCAATGTTCCGCAGCACGGGTCTATACCTGCGAATCCCGTACAAAAACACATTATTTTTTTCTTTTAATAAATCTGTAGTGGGAAGACTGAAGAGTAGACACAATGAACATAAGGTGTTTGGGGAAAGAACTTGGAAAGCAGAAACAGAAGAAACTCACGCATGTGCAAGACTAATGTATGCCTGTGTTGCCTGCTGGAGTTTTGCCGATAGCTGCATGACTTCTGCCGATAAAGCTTCTGCTCTGCTTTGTTCTTTTACGAGCTCCCCCTAAATAATGGAGAAGGAGACCATCAGATTAGAGAGAAATGAAAGAAACCTGAAACAACTAAGCAGACTATCGACTAACCTTGAGAGAGAGGACTTCAGTTGCAGATCCCTGTGAGTTTAAGCCATCCCTTTCTGGTTCTTTTGAGCCTCTCTGCATGTCATTGTAACTTGAAGACAGTACAGCTGCCTGTTCTGTTCTCAATTTATCGAGCATTACACGAAGTTCTTTATTTTGCTTGAGACAATCCTTTAACTGACAATCACGAGGAAAGCTGTTAGCATCAAGAAACAAACATCTAGAAAAGTAGGCTAACATCAACAGAAACCTGCTTTGAATACCAGAAACATCTAGCAACCAAGTGACCAGATAGTAACAGGAAAAAAAAATCTCGAGGACATTCAAGATTTCCTTGACAGATGACACTGTTTGTGCACCAAGCAACAAAGATAAAGAAAAAGCATAAGAACAATGGAGCAACATACCTGGCTCTCCCATTGAATGGCAGTGTTCATTGCCTCTTGAAGAGAATGTGAAAGGTGGGAATTTTCTTCAAAAAGCTGCTCTATCTCTGAAGATTGGGAATCAATCTGGCAGTAATACAAAAAAAGGAAGGGTGTTAAGCGTTCTTCTTTCACCCAACACCTAAATAAAAGGATAAGGTAAACAGAAACTACACCTCCTTCAAAAGCTTCTGTCTACTACTTTCCAGTCTCTCAACTGCAACAGCCATATCATGCAACTGCTTCTCAAGTCTCTCTTTATCCTCCTTCAGGTTTCAATAACAAGGATGAATTCGAAATGCGAAATACAAAATGCAATTAGTTGCTCCAAATACTGGAACTTTTTTTTAATGACAGATTGAATATAATTCACTTATTAAGGAATAACACGAAACTTAAAATAATAAATAACAACAAAATGAATTGCCAAATAGAATTCATACCATTGAAAATACATTATGAGCAACACCTTCTGACACTTGTTCTGCATTGCACAAATAAGAGAGCCAGCAAGTAAGAAATTAATACAAAATAAAAGCCACATGAAGTAACCAGAAATATTTGAAAGTCCCAATTGACAAACAGTGGCCATCATCTTGTTTTTCACCTGTTGCACTTTGGGACAGAGAAAGAAGTTTGTCTTCCAGCTGCTGCTTTTCAGACTCAAGGACAGAAACCTTGAGTTTCTCCTCCAGCAACCGCTGTTGCTCGAGTTGCCTCATGGTAGATTCTTGCTGCAAAATTTGGACCACCTTAGGGATAAGGGATGATCAATCCAGCAGGAATATGAAGAGGATGCAAACCTGCAGATCCGACTTCAAATTGGCCAACTCAAGTTCAAAGCTTTGTAATTGGTCTGATGGAATACCCATGGAAGTTATACCGTTGAGCTGATTACTCATTGCCTGGTGCTGAATTGAGTTCAACTCTGCTCTCAATGCTGCAGCATCTTCCTCAGCCTATTTCAAATGAGGGGGGGAAATGTTGAGATTACTCTGTACCATTGTTAAGATTCAGAAGCATTAACATACTCTGTATTGTTCCTCTTCTGCATCCTTTAACCGTTTCTTTAGTGTACGAAGCTGGGCTGAAAGGTCCTCCTGCAGTAGCATTTCAGAGTTTTGGTGATGCATGAGAGAAGACGAATGAAGTAAAAAAGAAACTTCGAGTTAATTATTCTTACCTTTGCAACAACTGCTGCATCTTTTTCCATTGCTACATCCTTAAGGGCTTTCCTTAAAGATGGAACTGTACTCTGTTCCTGTAGTAGACAAGAAAAGACTAAACATTAGAAACAATGTAGAGATTTGACAGCAAACATTTCAAACACCAAATGCTATCCATGGAATAGCATCATAGCACAACAGGATCTCGGGTATCAGGTTTAACATTGTATTCCTCGGCTACTCGTATTCCAAAAAAGATCACTAGCATACTTAAATTACTTATCAAGAAATTCTCCTAAGAAAACCACCAGGATAATAATTGTTGTGACATTCCCAAGCAACAAAATGCTGGAACAAAGAGCATGAGTTACATAGAGCTTCAATCTCTAAGCCCAAACCAACAAGGACTTCTCTTTGATTTGCTAAACAACAAATCGAGATAGGTAAAAGGCGGAGAAGACATTTGGAGTCTTTACCAGATCATTCACACGACTTTGTAATGTCTCATTCGCATCATTCTCGGTTTGGAGCTGGAAAAACACCAGAGCGACAACATTCAGACTATAGCATAATGGGAGAGCCATGCAAGAACTAACTTTGATGACAAACATTGAATTCAGACTATAATTGCTAGAGTATAATACCTTGAAAGACAGTACCCTGTTCTTCTCCTCTAACTCTGAATTCCTTTTCTGAAGTTCTTGCAGCTGCGCTACTAAACCACTAACATCAGCCTGCAGGCACCACCAAAAATTCAGAATCTGGGGACTGCAATTTGCGGATAACATCACTAACCATGATCTTGCAATTCCCTTCTAATCTTACACAACAAACGCGCAGACTAATTCAGCAACTTATAAAATTTCAATTCTAGTGATGAATAAACTCCTGTGTCAAGCCCAGTGACAATTCTTAGCTGGGACCCCATTAAAAGAGATCAAGAAAGCAAAGAAACAACTAAGATGTGCAATTCCCACCTCTGAGAGTCGATTTGCACTCTCGGATTTCTTTATTCCAACATTATCTGCGGAAACTCAAAAGAAACACAGTCAAGTGCGCGTTGGAATAAGAAGAAACCGGCCGCGGGATAAACGATGCAGCAGTCTTTGTTGACACAAGATCTAGGGAAGACCTGCAAGGATTGGGGATTTGCTGAGATCTGGTCCAGACGATGCTTTGCTCAATCTCTCTGCCGCTCGCTTTTGTCGAATATCTTCCAGCTGCAGAGAATGGCAACGGGGCGAACTCGATTTCAGAGACAGAAACAGTAGAAGCCAAAAATGAAGTGTAAAATGGATGCGAAGATGAGTACAGTTCGTCGACCCAGAGATGCGTGACGTGCGTCCATGGCAGAGAGAATTTGTTAACCGGCGGAGGATAATCACCCTCGCCCTCGGAGCTCCGATTTTAGTTTTGTTTGCAGAGAGAGTTTCAAATTGGAGAATCTAAATCCTCATTCGTTCCGATCTAGGTAATTAACATAAACGGTAACAAATCGTTTTATTCTTTTTTTTGGTTAAAAGACAGACGCCGAGCGTCTAATTCATATTAATAATAGATCAACAAACGTTTTATTCTTTGTGTAAAATGTTCACACTTTTAATAATAAGAATCCAACTTTAACGAGAGTGAAAGTAGGAAGGGTATTTTCGTTTACACAATCAATTTTTTATTTCATATAAACAAATAGGACTTTGCTACGGTGACATGCATGTTACGGTGACATGCACTTTTCGGTCAACCTCATATAGGATTAGGTCGACCTAATCTGCTGTTTCAGTGTAAAAACAGTTTCATGATGTATACTTTGGAGATTCATATCTTACAATTGGCTAGATGGAAATTGGAGATTAAGAGCTTGTTTTGAAGCTGAAGTGTCCCTCTACACATTAAAGTACTTGGGAGCTCAATAGAAAGTCCAGAAGACCATTTTTGAACCTGACCAAAAGGCTATGCCAAAACTGGGAAACTGCCTGAAATTGGCTAAGTCTGGCAACGTGTTTGTCAAGCCTACTTTGGAGCTCAATTTGAGAAGCATGGATGCGAGTCAAGTCCAGGGCCCTCTACCACGTTGAATTACGTATTTTATTATACAAAGGCAAGGCATTGGATGAAAGATTGAATATCTTTAAGACTTCAAACAAAAGGCTCGCAGTTGCTACGGAGGCTATTTTTCTGGCAGCTTGCTTGTGCTCAAAGTTAGCCAGAAAAACAGTCTTCGTAGCAACTTCGACCCTTTTGTTTGAAGCCTTACAGATATCCAATCTTTCATCCAATGCCTTGAATTTGTATAAAACATACCTAATTTAACGTGTTAGAGGCTCCTGGACTCGACTCGCATTCATGCTTTTCGAATTGAGCTCCAAAATAGGCTTCACAAACACGTTTTCAGACTTGGCCATTTTCAGGCAGTTTCCCAGTTTTGGCATAGCCTTTTGACGAGGTTCAAAAATGGTCTTCTGGACTTCCTATCGAGCTCTCTTCCACTTCAATATGTAGAGGGACACTCTAGCTTCAAAACAAGTCATTAGTCTTCAATTTCCATCCAGCCAATTGTATGATATGAATATCCAAAGTAGGCACCATGAACTGTTTTTACACTGAAACAATAGATTAGGTCGACCTGATCCTATATGAGGTCGACCGAATCCTAAATGAGGTCGACCAGATCCTATATGAGGTCGACCGAATTCTAAATGAGGTCGACCTAATCCTAACTGAGGTCGACCGGAAAGTGCAAGTCACCGTGACATGCATGTCACCGTAGGCACACCCAAAAAAAAATCAATGCTAGGATTTAAACCGTGGTCTCTTCCATTAAAGACAAGAATTGTAACCAATTAGACTAGACAGATTTGTTGTACTTCATTAATACAAAACATAAAGGAAGTTAAAAATTATGAAAAACATAGTACTTTTCTATCATGGTTAGTTAGCCCGCTAAGTCTCCTATAAGTATTTTGTGGTGTTTGATACTTCTATTTTCATATTTTAATAATTAATTTAGAATTTTTCCTAATTTATAAATGAAGGATAATTTTAAAATCTCAACACAAATATCATTTGTTGGAATATTGTGCATTGATTTGAAGTGTTGATGAAGTGTTCAATGACGACATAAGAATAGTGGTACCATATATTTCAAGAAAAATAAACATGTCAAACACCAATACCAATTATCTCAACAGTCTATGCTAAAACTCGAAATTGTTTAATCATTCAATTTGAGTGATAGTTTAGTTAAACCAAGCAAATAATTCACGATTGTGTATGAAAAAAATATAAACATATGTATTATATTATGAAATATTTATTTATTTTAACAATCTCATAAAAACAATCAAGACTTCCATACGACCCCTTATTTCAATAATGTAATTAATGAAATAATTTTTATCAGCATGATGCAATGTTCAAGCTAAGTTCCAAGTATTAATCACCAGTATATAGTATTCAACATAGTTAACTATTTTAACATCCACAACTAACTATTAATGGTTGCTTGCTTTCTCTTTGAGGGTTTAATGTAGCACTCTCATGCCTAGCTATGCTCTAAGCATTTGTTTTCTTTTACAAATTATCATTTGCAGTTATTTATTAAATCAACTTTGTTTCTAGCTTTCAATTCCTAATTATTCACTACTTCCTACCAATTTATGGGAATGCTAAATATATTTTTCATGTCTAATCTATTGACCATAAATGTTGCTTATCATTTAAATCCAACGGTATCCATGTTAGGTTTGATGTCAGCAACATATTCTCCCAATTTCTCCAAAAAGCATCATATCTTGCGATTGATATCATAGTTTTGTTAGGTAAAGTTCAACAAACTCAATCAACATTCGAACTCTTTGAAGTAGCTATCTACATCCGAATATGAAGTACTGAGTAGCTAAAACTCTACTTGAGTTAGTACAATCTTTTGCGCTTTCGATTCAAAATTCAATACATGATTATCTTATTACGATTTAGTCATACTAATTGTGCAGTAGGGGGACATCTTATCAAAATCATATAGAAAGACTCTTTGATTGATCGCTTTCATGATGTAATCAATTTTACCAAAATAGAAGTTATCAAATTTATAAGATGTTCTCAAAGTTGCTATAATTATTGAGGTTCAGTTGCACGTTAGGCGTAACGCGGTCATTGGGCATTTGTCTATCTCCTAGCTCGCCTAGACATGCTTAGACAATATAATAAAAATAGCAATTTTTAATAATAATGAATAAAATAACAGTTCTAAAGCACTTTCATACTTTAGTTCAAATGATTTAACAACAAACTAAATAACTCTCAAGTTTATAAATTATTTTCTTTTACCAAATGATATAATTAATTCATTCATGAGCTGAAATAACTAATTATCAACACTTCAATTTAAGTTAAAACTCCATATGATACAATTGTTTGACGAAATGGGTTTATAATAGAGTGGTTCTATCGAGAGAGGTCTCTAAGAAACATGACTTACTTTATTATTCCTTAGGTGGATATAATATCTATTTTCATCGTTACTTTTACATTGGCTTTAATTTAGTATTCTTTTTCTTATGCAAGATATGATTTTATCTTTGATAATATAGATTTATTTTTTCAAGCATGTGGATGCTTGAGACTTCTCATTTGCCTCATAACTTACATTTTACAATGGCTCCAAACATGGATGGGTTTCTATTCAACACATAAATTTTTAATGATGTAAAAATTATGAAACTAAGATGCATATTAATAAACAATGTAAGGTCTCATCTTCCCTCTTAAGCACTGCATATAATTGTTTACTTACCATTAAATCAAAGTCTTTCTAACTTCAGTAAGAGCTACAATGACTTTTATTATTGTGGATTTCCCCCAAAATGTTAGGTATGCTACTTTTAGTTTTTGCCTTCTTTCCAGTTTGATTTAGCTTTCTATATGAAATGCCACTCGAACCATGACTGTGTGAGTTAGTTTGTTTCTTTTTAAGGACACTCTAAACATATACTTTGTTTCATTATATCATTGAATACACTCAAGTAAATGGAAAAGACAAATTTTTTATCGTATACTAAAGATTGATTATGCATGTATGATGTAAAACAACTCTTATCATTGTTCTTCTTAGACATTTTTATATAGATATGACATTGTTTGAAAATATGTATTTATGTTAGTGTAGTTGGACGTTGTTTGTCATACATTAAATACTTTCCTATATTATTCATGGAGAACTTACCAAATTAAATAGTTACTTCAATCCTCAACAACATGAACCATAAAAAAAATATACCTCAATGTTTACTATACGTATACATGAAAATCAAACTCTCCCGGCCAAGAGGCCGGGCCCTAATCTAGTTTAATATGTATGTATATCAAAATAGTCATTTTTAGAGGTGGTAATTGGTACGGTGTCGTTTAACCACTAACTGATATGGTAGTTAGCGATTAACCAATTAGTCAAAAATGCATATCGATAACCGAACCAATTAACCGTATCTTATTAGTTTGGTTAGCTGTTAGTTTAGCGGTTAACCACTAACATATGTTCTAACAAGTATGAATATACCTAATCAAACCAATAACTTTTATTTTCTTTCACGAAATATAATAAAACAAAATAATAACCATGTGTAGTATTACACAAATCATCATCCGATTAAGTTTAACAAGTGTCATTTAATCCTAACTAGCTGTAAAAAAAAATTAGTGTTAATACTTTATTTTGGCACGAACTATACACAAACTTTCTACCTTGGTCCGTGGTTTATGAAAGGGTCATAGGTACAATATGTCTCTCTACTATGTCATTTTATCAAACATGCCCCTCTACTATTTTTTTACATCAAACATGCCCATGTACTTAGAAATATGATCAAACATGCCTTTCTATTAAGATTTCCATCCAAAAACTGTTAACCACGACCAAACTTTTGTTAGGGTGACACAAATATCTAAAATATCCATAATAATTTCACTTTATGGATAACCAAATAATTCTAATAATTTCACTTTGACGAGACCCAGAGAAATAAAACAGGGGATAAAAATGACATTTTCCCTCCCATTTGCCGATGTCGGGTCATCTAAATCTCTGTTCAACCATGATTGACGATTTTTTCAATGAAAATTTTAACATATGGCATGTTTGATAATTTTCCAAAGTACAGAGGCATATTTGATGTAAAAAATAGTAGAGGAGCATGTTTGATAAAATGACATAGTATAGGGGCATATTATTTCCTTGATTGGCCCGACATGGATTTTGAAGGTTAATTGTATGGTTGGTTACTGAGATTACAAAAAACGTTCATGTTTGGTCACTGTAAATATTTAAATCCAATCTTGGTCACTCAAATTAGTTAAATAGTTCAAGTTTGGCCACTCTCCGTCCATTTCCGTTAACTCTAGCTTACGTGGCAGTCAACTTTCATAGTTGACCGTTAAATATGTGACAGGGTAATTAAAAAAAACTTTTATATTTTCCATCTCATTATTACATTCATTAAAAAATAAAAAAACCTAATTTTTTTTCTACACACCCCAATACCCTACCCGACCCAACCTCACCACCACCAGAACACAACCATCGACCCGGCAGCGGCATTCCTTCCAGGTTCGGCGAGCTCCCTATCATCACACTATCCGTATCGAACACTTGCTCCATCCGGTAAACCACCAACGACACCAACCACGACGACAAGATCCCCCTGATCTTCTCGTTGTCGTGCTCCACCACCGCCTCCTGCAGCCACCACGCTGCCCATCCCAAATCGTTCCCCAGCAGCTCCCCCATCGCGGCGGAGGTCCTCATCGGATTAATCGAGTTCTCGAAGTAGTCTGGATGTAGGGGAGGATTCATCCTTCCCCTGTTGTTGGTCACGAGACAGCACCCGGTGATCTTCTCTTGAGGGAAATTTCGGGCGCGGGTCATGCCTCGCCAGACCAATGCGGATAGGGATTGGAACGATGACATCTTGGTGGTCCGGGATTGGTAGTTGGATTTAGATTTGATTTTAGCAATCGATTCGGCCAAGAAGTGGAAGAAGCTCTCGAGGAGCTGTGGCGATTCGTAGCTTCGGTCGTCCAAGCTTATCACTCACCTTCTTCTGATTGTCATCCTCTTTTTCGGCCTGCTTTGGTTATTCTACGACTCTTCCTTCGCACCCGGATCGGACCCGGAATCTCTCCGCCACGACAGCTCTGACCCGATCCTCGGTTCACTTCCGGGTCCCCAGGTCTTTGACGATGACTCCCTCCAGAATCTGGAACTTCCTTGAACCGTTCCGGAGAGTCTCGAATCGGGGGATTTGGATGTCGTTTGATGTTGGAGAGTGTTGGTGTTTTTTTGTTGTATATCTGAGATATGAAGTACTCCGAGCTCATACATTGCTTGGATAAAGAGCTAATTTACCAGGCGAAGTTGAAGCTAAACTTGTCGTTGATGGAGCGCTCGAGGAGCTCTACCGATGGGGCAGCGTGGATCAATCGGGCTCCGGGACTGTTCACACAGTCGAGGGATACGATCAGGAGCTGTCGTCTTGTGGGGATTCGGAAGTGACGAGGCGGAAGGCGAGTGGGTATAAGTGGGAGAGCGTGAGGGAGAGGGCATGGTTCAACCGACAGAGGAATTCGGCAATGTGGAAGCCGGGGGAGCGTGTTTGGTAGATGGCCCTTCTGGATGTAATGGACGGAGAGCATGAGGAGGTCCCATGGAGGCAAGTATATTGGGCGCTTCATTTCGTCGGCGGAAGGAATGCCGCTGTCGGGCCGGAGATTGTGTTCTGGTGGTGGTGAGGTTGGGTTGTGTCGGGTAGGGTATTGGGGTGTGTAAAAATGAAATTAGGTTTTATTTTTATTTTTATTTTTAATGAATGTAATAATGGGGTGGAAAATATAAAAGTTTATTTTTTTATTTTTAATAATTTTTTAATTGCCACGTCACATATTTAACGGTCAACTATAAAAGTTGACTGCCACGTAAGCTAGAGTTAACGGAAATGGACGGAGAGTGATCAAACTTGAACCATTTAACTAATTTGAGTGACCAAGATTGGATTTAAATATTTCCAGTGACCAAACATGAATGTTTTTTGTAATCTCAATGACCAACCATGCAATTAACCCTATATTTTGACCATCAAATTGGAAGGTCAACTACAATAACCGTTAGTCAAACGCCAGGTCACTTACCACGTCAGCGAACACAAAATAAAAATTTGAAATTAACTACACTTCTACAGTATTGACATAAAATACTAATGAGAAGAAATAACAGCAATACAACATTCATCGTGAATTCATAATCAAAACCCAAATCCAAAACGTCTTCATCTAATTAGTGAATACCAACTACCAAGAAATCAAATACAAGAACCAAAAGATCATCATCATCCATAAACATCAAAGAAGCAAAGACTACTAGGTAGGGGTGGGCAACGGGTACCCAGTCCCATTTAGAGACCAAAGTCCATCCCATATCCCAAACCCATATGGGAAACGGGTACCCATTACCCGTACGGGACGGATAACGGGTACCCATACTACCCATAAATACCCAAAGTGTAAATGACATTTTACCTAAAGACAATTAGTCAATTACATCCAAAGCATTCATTTCAAAACACAAAATGGCTGCACAAGTAGCAACTTACACCAATTCCTACAACCCAAAGAAGGGATGATGATGAAGATGAAAAGGAAATAAGGAAGGGGAAAGGACCAAATAATAAAACCCAGAAAGAGAACAAGTTCTGCTTCCTGGAAAGTGCCATGATTCAGTAATAATAATAATAATGTTGTTTCTACTCAAATCAATCCTCAGTTTGGCAAGAAATCTGCTGGCCGCCGGGTGAGAAGAAGAAACCTGCTGCTGCTCCGCTGGGTGAGAAGAAGGGAGAGCTCAGAGGCGGCGGCGGCGGTGAATGAAGGAGGCGCCAAGGCCCGAGGCGAGCTAGGTTTCGACCTTTCGTCTCTTCTCTCTCGTCCCGCGAAGACGACTCCTCCAGCCAGGGACAAGACACAAGACAGAGACAGACCTTTCCAAATTCCAGAGAAGCTATCGCCTGCCGTCGCGTGTCTCGCGTCTTCTAGGGCCTAGGGGTGCGTCGGCGTCTCAACTCTCACGAGTTGAATTAAATGGATTTTGTAATTTTAATGGATTTTGAATTGGGTTGGGCCTGGGCGCATGGGCTAAATTATATGTCTTTGTAATTTGAATGGGTACAACGGGTACCCATATTACCCAAACGGGTATTCGCGGGTAACCCGCGGGTACCCATATTAGGACTGTACAATCCCAAGTCCCATCCGTTTAAAATATTACAGGTAATATGGGTACCCGTAACGCTTAAAAAACGGGATGTGATGTTCACTCTATCGAGTGCAAATGGGAGTCAAAAAGGATGACTTTTGGTATGATTCTTAAACACATTTAAAGAGTTTGGGTGGAGGGTTTTTGGCAAGAAGTGGAGATAGAGATATCTGAAATTGCGATTTTGGTTGGTTTGTATCTTGAGACTTTTTATCTCAGCCAAAAACCAAAACTGTGTGGTTATACTAGTAGGCGATTATCGGTTAACCACTAATTGGGCTCAATTTCCACAATATGCAATAAGTGGGTCAAATTCTCATGTTTGGCTGTAAAAAAAATATAATGGAAATTGGGTTGTGACTTGTGAGAATTGGTCCAATTACCAAAAATATGGAAATTAAAAATCCCCTGCTCCCTGCATTTCTAATTCTCGTGTTTAAGGATATTTTGTTGCCTGTTATGCCCCTGTTATTTTAGAGGCGTATTATTTGCCGCCCGTGTCATTACTATTTGCCGCCCGTAAATTAAACTAAAAAGACATTTTTGCCCTCCAAAATTTCTTTATATTCTATTCTTTGGTTTTTTAAACTACCCACACCACCACCCGACCACCAACCCACAATCACCATAGTCGGAGTCACGGCCACCGGACGGCAGCCTAAGTCGCGGGCCATCGGACCACCGTCAGCATAATTCGTTGGCCACCGGACAGCAGCCTACCACATCGTCAGACCAGCGAAGGAGGTAAACCTCCTGTATTTTGCACACCTCCTGTATTTTTCCTCGTCTGACGCCGGCGAGCGGACGGCGCCCGACGCCGGCGAGCGGACGGCGCCCGACGCCGGCGAGCGGACGGCGCCCGACGCCGGCGAGCGGACGGCGCCCGACGCCGGCGAGCGGACGGCGCCCGACGCCGGCGGTGTTTTTTATTTTATTTTGATATATATTATTAATTCTAGAGCTAATAATTTAGATTTAATTTATTGCTTTTATTTTTATTTTACACAGTTGATTTCTTATGTGGTTTGAATTAAGCGATTGTATTTTGTTGTAGCGCTAATTAGTTTATTGTGTTTAGATTTAATTCGTAGAGCTAATTTGGTTTAATAATTTATATTTAAATAATTTTCTTATCGTCAAATTATCGTTATTTTGTGGATTTAATTAAACTATTGCATTTAGTTTAATTGTGTAGAGTCAATTGAAGCACAATTCGTTTAATTAAGTGATTGTGTTTTGTTGTAGCGCTAATTAGTTTATTGTGTTTAGATTTAATTCATAGAGATAATTTGGTTTAATAATTTATATTTAATTAAATTTCTTATCGTCAAATTATCGTTATTTTGTAGAGTTAATTAAATTATTGCATTTAGTTTAATTTTGTAGAATCATATAATTTATATCTTTCTAACGAGTTGTAAAATCATAATTGCAGGTGGACATGGCTTACAATGTTGAACTAAATGGTGATTACACAGACAATTTTCTCAATGGCATCTCCGTGAGCACTATTGGCAATACGCTAACTTGTATGGGTCAGATGTGAATGCGGCAATCAAACGCATTGACATCGCTACTACAGCACCAACGACAAATTGTCATTGGATGATGGGTGTGGATCTATTCGTATTTGCCACACTCTTTAATTTGGTTGTTGTCATGCACATCAATATCCTCTTTCCAGTACCAAATACGTACAACTGTACCATTATGCCAGTGGACAACCTATCTGGGGCAACCAGTCCTAGAGGAGTCATTGTTGTGCATTTCGTCCAGGATCATTGGCTCAACCTGTCTTTCCCGGCGGACATGATACCGATGCCCCCAGTACATGGCATGTGTCCAGAAGGTCACCAAGATAGCGTGCTTGGATGGGATACATATTTCGCGCAGTTTAGTCAACTGTGGTTTGATCTTAGGGGTGGGCAGTCAAGCGGTCCATCGCGCAAAATAAAGAGGGTTCCAAAGAAATAAATTTGTAATCGAGAGGGAGCCCGATGTACTCGTCTTCAATTTAAATAAATTGTAATGAAAGTTGCTTACGTCACATGGAAACATGATATAATAAAAACATCCCAAGTACAACATAAATACATAAGTCATAATCAGAAAACAACATCCCAGATACAACAAAATAAGCAACTGAATACCACATAACATAAGTCATAGTAAAACAACAGAATAACATAAGTCCACTCGTCTAAAAACAACAAATAACACTCATAAATATGACATAACAATCATACAACTATTGTGGAGGTGGTAGAAAACCAGACTTCCTCCTAAACTCGGGCTACATGTTCCCAACTCCATGACATAAGTCATAGTACTCGTTGGACCTAGCATTCCACTGCTCCCTACTACCCTGTGCAGCATCCATCACGGGAGCTAGCTCAATCCACATCTCGCGCCCCAACTGTAAACAAAAATCATACAATTTAAATACATATTAGTTGCAATCAAACGGAATTCTACTTAATACAAATAATTTCAAATATGATTGTACTAACTGTATCAGCATCCGCGAACTCACGACGAGGTCGGTTGTCACTTAGTATCTGTTGGTGCGAGTGCCTAATGTACCACCCCATGTAATCGCCAGCAAACTCCCATGGCCTACGTCGTATTGGAGTAGAATAAAGGTCCAGATGCACACTATGCGCCCCCAGGTTGTTCCACCACGAATCATAAACAGACTGGTAGCTAATAGAGTATCCAAGCGTGGAAGCAGGTCACCGCACAACAAGCAGACGCTCCGGGGGATACGGTACACTCTGCATGTAGCCTAACTATCGGAGGCACCTAGTGGGATCATATGGCTCTACTATCTCTGCAAATCTCAGCAGGCCCTGATACAATGTACGTCTCATTGTCAGATGAGGACTCCGACCATACAGAGTCCAAATAACCTGCTGTGGGGTCAAACTATCAATCGCCTGCCGATAATAAGCCAGCATCTATGTATCCCTCTTCTTCGCCGACTGGGGTGAGATACCATGCCACCTGAATGCTCCTTCCTGCCCCTGCTCCAGCTGTCGTGGCTCCAACCGACTAGGCCTCAAGGTAGGAAAGTGGTCGTAAATCCAACACTGTAGTAAAGTCAAACAACCCGCCACTCCCTTAGCCTCCGCCCGGGAGGCAATACCAAGCTGCATGTACAGATAAGCAAGAGCTCCAGCCCCCCACGCGTACTCTCCTAGCATATCAGGCCTCTTTACAAACAAGTTGATAACAGTAGAAACGCGGTCCTTACTATTATCTACGAACAGTGTGGACCCAAGCAGCAAAAGAAGGTAACACTGAGCCTCTCTAGCTGGCGGACCAAACTCCTGCAAATGAGTCAAAGCTGCCACACCCAACAAACCATATCCTCTGTACCACCTAGACAGACTGGCAACCTCTCCAACCTGCTCCCTATGGTCCAAATCATCACGATCTAATCCTAGTAGTGCTCGTATGTCAGCCTCCAGTGACCACTTCTCCAACTGCCTCGGATCCACTACCATTGCCTCTCCCTCAACCGCAAGCCCAAGAATGTGAGCCTCGTCGTGAAGGAGGATCGTCATCTCTCCAAACGACATGTGGAAGGTGTTGGTATCTGGATGCCACCTCTCCACAAATGCCGAGATGAGAGTAGTGACCAGCTCGCTCTGGAAGGTGATATCAACGAGGTGAGCAAGGCCCAATGTCTCTACGGTAGTCCTAGCGTTATCATCTGCCATCTCATAACCGTCTAGAACGTGCTGAAGCGTCGAACTCCTGTCGTAGTAGGTGATCACCCCTCTATCATCATGTCCGGTGTAAAGACGGTGGGCAAGATTCCCAAGAAATCTACGGAGCAAACTCGGATCGCTTGGCCCTCCAGCACATGGTCCTCTAAGCTCCCAGGCCTCTCCCACATAAGCATTACCACTCTGGCCCTCACCAGGCTGTGGAGCTCTGTAGAAACGCCCCGCATGGTCTCTATAAATCCCAGTAACATCATGAACCCCAGTAACGACATGTGACGATCTGCTGGTGACACCTCTATCTCTGATCGGATTGACTCGTGGAATGCGATACTCAACAGCATCCGACTCATACTGCTCCGACTCGTCATCAATCTCGTCTGAAGGCTCAAATGGTAAAGTATGATGATCCCTCGCCCCAAAGTCGTGACTGGAACCAGTTCCACTACCAGCCATACTAGGCAACTGAAAATCAAACTGAGGAAAACCGTATGCCCTCTAAGTCATCGGTGTTACTAGCTGATGTGGCTGTGGCTTTGGTTGTGGCTCTCCTCCATCATTTGGGTCCTTATTTCTCCCACTCATACTAATGTTACGTCCAATGAATCTTTTCAATCTCTTTACTGATCCTCCAGAACTACGTGATCCTCCAGAACTACCAGACGACGCCATCTCTAAACATAGTCTATAATTTTCTATTAATGTCTTATAATAAATTATTTGTTGAGCAATTATTTGTTGTTTCATAGACTAATTATGATACATCCAATTTGTTATCTAATTAATTTAACTAGATAGTTATTTTACTTAATACGATAGGTAGTTATTTAAATAATTATTTCAATTTACTCAATTACTTAACTAAAATATGATAGATAATTATTTAAAACAAAAAATTATTTATAATTTATTTAATTCAATAATTATTTAGATAATTATTATAATGAATTATCTATTAGCATAGTCAATAATTATCTATTAATCTCTTATAATAAATTATTTGATGAGAAATTTGTTCATAGTCATAATTTATCAATGACTAATTATGATGCATACAACTTGTTATCTAATTAATTTAACTAGATAGTTACTTTACTAAATACGATAGATCGTTATTTAAATAATTATTTCAACTTACCCAATTTAACTAGATAGTTACTTTACTAGCTAATATTCATTGTGTTAGTAAACCATGTAAATCGTGTATCGTGTGCTTCCTGTTTTCGTTTTCTTGCTTTGTCGAATCCTCCGATTTTTTTTTCCGTTGAATCGGTTGCTTTATTTCCAAGAAAGACCAATACAACGAAGTGGAGATTTGCATCCCCAGTGATTGTCTCACTACTTTCTCCTATATATCACCCTACCTACAAAGACCTGTGAAAATAAAACCTATAAGTAGTGAAGTTTAGTAAGAGCATCTCTCAATCCTCTATTCCCACAAGTTAAAAATTGCAAATCCTCCCGAAGCTGTTCAGCAACCTTCTCTAGACTTTGCCTGGCCGATCCAGGTATCACTCTGCATCTCTCCTTCCAAATAAAAGCAACAAACAGACACCAGACCAAAGCATGCCATTTTCCAGTTTGTGTATCCCTGTGCATCCTTGTACTGAAATCCTGTACCATCACATCCCAATTCTGATAGTTCAGATACCTGAATTGCAGTAGTGCAATAAGCCTTCGAGTGAAGTTACAGCTGAGAAATAGACGGTATCGGCTCTCAACTCCATCCTCACACAAGGGACAAGATGCACTAGGTATTTTACCCCACTTCAGTAGCTTATCTCTGGTTATTATAGCATTCCTCATGATCAGCCAAGCAAGCAGACTATATCTTGGAAGACAGTAAGCTCCCCAGACAAGTTTATACCACGGGACAATAGGTGATTTTCTTCTAAGTTTTTCCCAAACCCTACGAACAGAATAGACATGCATTTCCTGAGAGTCCCTGTAAATGACAGTCCCTTGTTGAGTAATCCAAGGCAAGATAATGTCTCTAAGCTTTAGCAGCCTCCTCCAGGTCCAAGAGCTACTATATTGTACCTTCATACTCCACAAATCCCCCTGTTTGCATTTATATTCCAGCATCCATGCAACCCATAAAGTGTCTGCCTTCATTAAAAACAACCACAGCATTCTGATAGTACATGCTTGATTCCATGCCAATAGATCTTTAACTCCTAACCCACCCTCCTTCCTTGGTAAAGCCACTGATTCCCATGCTACTTTGGCTTTCCCAGTTTCAGTCCCATGCCAAAGGAACTGAGAGCAAACCTGTTGGATCCTCTTCAGAGCCGCTTTAGGAAGAACAAATAGCTGCATCCAATACTGAATGACCCCCATCAAGACTGAAGTCACAAGTTGCAGCCTACCAGCATAGGTCAATTTCCTGGCCCTCCATGATTTAATTCTTTTTGTGATCTTTTCCACCACAATATCCACCTCCTTTGATGACAATTTTCCAGTCATCAATGGAAGCCCTAAATACTTGACAGGCAACAACCCTTCCTTGAAACCAGACAGGGCTAGGGCATTATCTTTATATTTGACAGATTCACCCCCAAAGTAGACTTCACACTTAGCAAGATTACAATTAAGCCCTGATAGTTTGTAGAACTGCTGTAATACCTCTTTTACTTGAAGAATAGCTTGGGTTGAGCCAGTGGTAAAAACAAGCACATCATCAGCAAAACACATATGATTTAAACCAACTCTTCGACACTGAGGATGGTAGGGGATCCTCCCTGATTGACTGGCAGATATTAGCATGGAAGAGAGGCCCTCCATGGCAATAGTAAACAAGTATGGTGATAATGGATCACCTTGACGAACTCCCTTTCTAGCCCTAAAGAATCCACAAAGCCCTCCATTTATACTTATACTATAATGAGCAGTTTGCAAGCAAGCCCTTATCCATTTCATAAATTGAGATGGGAAACCCATGGCAGTCATCATGTGAAACAGATAGCTCCAACTAACAGAACCAAATGCTTTCATGATGTCAATTTTTATTGCACATCTAGATGATAATGCACTTCTATTGTATCCACTAACCAACTCCTGAGCCATCAGTATATTGTCCATGATGCTTCTCCCCTTAACAAACGCTGACTGATTAGCACTAATGATTAGAGGCATTACCTCACTAATCCTTCTAGCAAGAATCTTAGCTATTATTTTGTAAAGAAGATTAACACATGAGATGGGTCTAAAGTTCTTCAGGGTGTCAGCATTCAGTACCTTAGGAACTAAGGAAACAACAGTAGCATTGATTCCACTAGGAAGGTTACCTGTTTGGAAAAAAATAGAGGACCCCTCTAGTCACATCCTCTCCAATGATTGGCCATGCTCTCTTGTAGAAGCCTGCAGAGAAGCCATATGTGCCTGGAGCCTTCTGTGCATTCAGGCTAAAGACCACTTGTCTCACCTCCTCTACTGTGATCTCCTTAATAAGATTCTCACACTCAGGGCCTGGAATATGATGTCGAATCAGATGAGCTATCTCATCCCTCTCAGGTTTTATTTCCAGATTTGCCTCCCCCAACAGCTTTTTATAAAAACAAATTACTTCTTCAACAATCTGGTCAGACTGGAATAGCTCCTCACCAGATTCTTTAACCAGTTTCCTAATAGCTCTCTTAGAGTTGTGAATCTTGACTGCCTGATGGAAGAAATGAGAACTCTGGTCCCCAACTGATAACCAAGAGACCCTGGATTTTTGCCATCCAAAACTTTCATATGCCTTTGAAACATGATCATATTGGTCCTTGGCCAGTGTTACAGCTTCGAAGTGCTCAGAAGTGGGATCTGAGAAAGCCTTGATCTGAACCCTTGCCAATTCAGCCTCAGCCTCTTTTACCTTATCTTGCAAGTTACCATATATGTCTTTATTGAACTTCTTTAGAGCTTGCTTTACCCTAGACAATTTACCCTGAATGACCTGCAGAGGATTTCCTACCACCTCACTACTCCAAGCCTCAGCCACTATATCCAAGAATTTTGGATGATCTGCCCAGAATTCAAAATATCTGAAAGGTTTAGGTAGGGACTTAATCGGGGCAACAGTACAGACTTGTATGGCACAGTGATCTAAAAACTGGGAAGGGAGAGCTTCCATGATGCAATTTGAAAAATGATCAATCCATTCCAGATTAACCAGGCCTCTATCTAATCTTCTAGCAATAGGCTAATTGGCTTGCTTGTTAGTCCATGTGAATTGCGGCCCTGTAGTTTTGAAATCCATCAGCTCCATCTCCCCAATCCAGTGATTAAAGTCATTCATACTCTGGTTCGAGGATCTCTGATTTGAGGTCACCTGTGGAGCTCGCACAGTGTTAAAATCTCCTCCCACAATCCAGGGATGGCCAACAACTTTCAACTGAGAAATTTCTTGATAAGTACTCAACCTCTCTGATTCATCATTAGAAGCATAGACCGCACTAAGGAAAAAACGGTCCCTATTCAAGTCCTCTACTAGACAATGTATGAAATTTTTCCTAGGCTTAAGGATCTGGACTTTAATGGCAGGGTCCCAGACAAGCCAGACCCTTCCCAACTTTGACTCATAACAGTTCAAACATTTTTCCCAACCAGTAAAAACCTCCTCCACCACTTCCTCAGCTTTAGTAGCTTGTATCCTAGTTTCTAAAACTGCAACCATATCCACCTTATTCCTACGCAGGACTCTTAATAAGTCCCTTTGTTTAGAGGGTTTATTTAACCCCCTGACATTCCAGAAGAGCACAATCATTTCGAAGTTGGGGGGTTTCCCCCCACCCTTC